AAATACTGGCATCTGCACTATAAAAAAGTTTTCTGCCTTAATTTTTTCAAGTGAAATCAACTTAACTTTTCTGGTCATCTCAATTTACATCAATCAAATGACCAAAAATATCAAGTTAAACTTTGTATAACTTAAAAAAATGTACCTGAGACCTGATAAACCTGTTAAAATATGTTGAAGCAACATACAATTATTTGTTGTCTTGACTTTTAGTGTTGAGAACATGTGGAAATGAAACCTTCCACAGACAACTTTGAAATAAAATGTCAAAATAGGGGTGAAAATATTGTTAGAGCGTAAACTTTAAATATATATTATAATAAAAAATTTAACTTTTTGCTTAGTTTAACCTGTACTTAATATATATAACAGAATAAGTGAATCTTTACCTTTCTAAGAACAGGTAAATTTATGCGGTTGTAAGGGTAGTAATAAAGGCCAATAATTAAAACATTTTCGAAACAATTCGTGTTTTTGGGGAAATGATGCTTGTTCTAAATATGCCTGACAAGCTTGTTTTAAAGCTGTTGTTATGCTGAATGACATTTTAGTGGGTTTCTTCACTAAATCATAATTACAATTTGCGATAGTCGTTATTTATTGAGATTCATTTTAATACAAATATATTTAAAAACATTTTTTGCTGTTTACTTGAAAACAGTTTTTTTTATCTTTAACTCATGTAAAGATCTTAAGCAGTCTGTAAAATGATGCTATATATTGAAGGAATAAGCCATTTTATTTACATATTTGAACAGAAAAAAAAATATTAGCAGAAAAAAAGGATCAAAACATGTTGTTCTTTACCAGTATTGATGTCTTAGCATACACTATCATTCTCATTCCCAGCATAAGCAAAATAAAAAATGCCTCTACCAGACAAGAAAATCCTATACTTCCTAGTCAAATTCCTGCTCTGCTACGTATGGTGAGGATAATGCGTGCCTTCCCTTTGAACTTTTACAATACCGTGTGTGTGTGTGTGTGTGTGTGTTTGACTGATGGAGAATGTCTTTGTCTTTGGCCGGTATCTTCAATTACTCGTTCGTGTCAACGCCCACAAAAGACCCTCAGCCCTGTCGGCTCTGAGAACCCTGAAATATTAAGCCCCATTTTGTTGAGGTGAAACTGGAGATATCAGCTCTATCTTTCTATCTGTTGGCTGCATAATCAGACCTGTCTGATACCTCAGTGCCTCTGAATAGCTTTGAATCTCCAATATCACTTGCCTTTATAATCTAACATGACTCTGCATGTAAATGGCTATATAATACTTCGAAAGAAAGGCTTTTCCCACTGGTCAAAAAAAAAAGAAAGAAAAAACAATAGCCTTATATCTACCCAAGAGTTGTTCACTGTAAAACCGAGTAATTATATTCATTAAATAAGTTGAATAAACTCAAATATTTAAAATGTTATTTGTGCTTAATAGAAACAAGTTACATACACTAATGTTTCCTATTGTAATCAGATGGACTTAATTTGCCTAAGTAAAATATTTCTAGTTCCCAGTATGCTTTGTGCCAGAGTTGTTCTGTGGATTTCTGTAAAATATTGACAGATAAATATGTTTGTAATTCATTTTGTGCTGTTTTGGGGATTCACAGAGGTTCTGTTATGCTGAGATTTATAAGTTAATCATTGTAGTGAAGTATAGAGCCTGTTTTTCTTTCTTTTTTTCTGGATAAGAAACAAATGAAAGGGCAAGTTCTCCCAAAAATATAAATTCTGTCATAATGTGGTCCACTTTATGTCGTTATGTATTCTTTTGAACACAAAAGAAGATATTCTGAGGAATGTTGTAAAGAAAACTGCCATTGACTTCCAATCCATAGCAGTCTTGTGATGTCAGTGGCTGCTTTTTTCCCCTTACATTCTTCATAAAATCCTTTGAGTTCAATAGAAGAAAGAATTTCATCAAAGTTTTGCACTACTTGAGTGCGGGTAAATCATGAAAAGGTGAGGAAATTTTCATTTTTTGGGTTAACTATCTATTTAATACTGTGCAGTATTTTCAGCATGACCCACAGCTGTATGAAAAGCTGTATGTCTTTTTGATGGGTGCATTTATAAATTTTACAGTGTTAATCATAAAGATTGGAGCTTTTATTATTTTCTATATATTTTCAAATATTCTATGTTTTAGGTAAATTGTGACTTAATAGTGTTTTAATTGTCGGCCATATTGGAAAGCAGAATGTAAACAATGCTGTGGAACTGAACAAAACGTTTATATTTAGCTGATTAGTGCTACTCAAAATGATTGTAGGCTGTACTTAGCCAGATATAGAACAATATCTTTAGGATATTAAAGACTCCCAAATGTTATAGCAAATCAAGCAGAATGAAGCCTGTGAAATGGAGTTAGTCAAAACAGTACATGTTCTTTCTGTGGTAAAATGTTTGTAAGAAGAATAACTCATAAATAAGCAGAACAACATATTAGAGTATTGTGCAATCATGCTGTTGTTGACATCCGTGTACGGTTAAAGTCAGAGTTATTAGCCCACCTTTGATTTTTTTCTTTTTTAATTATTTTCCAAATGATGTCTAACAGAGCAAGGACATTTTCACAGTATGTCTGATAATATTTTTTTCTTCTGGAGAAAGTCTGATTTGTTTTATTTTGGCTAGAATAAAAGCAGTTTTAAATTTTTAAACACCGTTTTAAGGTCAAAACTATTAGCCCTTTAAGCTATATTTTTTTTCCGATAGTCTACAGAATAAACCATCGATATACAATAACTTGCCTAATTACCCTAACCTGCCTAGTTAACCTAATTACCCTAGTTAAGCCTTTAAATGCCACTTTAAGCTGTATAGAAGTGTCTTGAAAATATATATATAGTCAAATATTATTTACTGTCATCATGACAAAGATTAGTTATTATATTATACAGTTATTAGAGATGAGTTATTAAAACTTATGTTTAGAAATGCGTTGAAAAAATCTGCTCTCCGTTAAACAGAAATCGGAGAAAAAAAATAATAAACAGGGGGGCTAATAATTCAGAGGGGCTAATAATTCTGACTTTAACTGTATCTCCATAATTGCCACATATATAGGTACGTTGAAGACCTGCATGAAAACACACTATTGACCTTATTCTTCACCAGGGCTACCCAAAATTGGTCCTGGAGAGCCAGTGTCCTGCATAGTTTAGCTCCAACCCCAATCAGACACACCTGAGCCAGGTAATTAAGCTTGGAAGAAATGTTATGGCAGGTGTGTTGAGGCAAGTTAGATCTAATCTCTGCAGGACACCAGCCCTCCAGGACTGAGTTTGGGCACCCTGTTCTGCACATACGAGCAGCCGCTTCCATTGGAATAGTTTGGCTCAAGACTTGCATTGACATGAGACTTGGTCTCATCACTTCTATTGGTTTCATTATGCTTCTTGATGTTGCAAACTGATATTTTCTTATTATATTATTCATCTTTTTATATATAGTCATGAACACATTTGTTTGTAGTAAAAGTAGTTTAACCATTTTCTACTGTTTATTGTTCCTTGTAATTTCTCCTATAGACAGCTGAATCTAAAACAATTGCAAGAACGAGCACACTTCCGCATCGTCAATAGGTTAAAGTCAAAAGCTGAAACTTACTATTAAAGGAATGGTTCACCCAAAAATGAAAATTCCTTATCATTTCCTCAACCTTTACTGGTTCCAAGCTATTTTGAATACAGATTGAAACCTGTAACCATTGGTTTCTATAGTATTTGTTTTTCTTACTATTGAAGTCAGTGGTTACAGGATTTCCACTTTCTTCAAAATATCCTCTTTACTGTGCAGCTGAAGAAAGAACTCATAAAGGTTTGGAAACCCTTTTGGGTTAGTAAATAGTGAGTACATTTTTGGGCAAACTATAAAGGAATTACCAACCTACAACATACATGATTTCACACAGGTTCCCGGTTGCTAACAAAGACCGGTTGCAATAGCAAACATGTAATGTTGTTCGGTAGGATGCCAAATTCTAAAGTCCTAAAATTGAAAACTTAACTTGAAGTCTTCTTTTCTAGTCTTTGGCTAGGCAGAACCTTGGTTTTAGCACTTCAACGTTTTGAATCTGGTAATCATGGAACATTATTTCTTGCACATGACCACACAGAACAAAATTGTTGGCATCCAAAGCCTTTAACTTCTCTCTTGTAAATTCACTTGGAGTTTCAATGAGATAGTAGTATATTTTGGGCTGTATGCTTGGCCATTTCATCTGATCCAATATCCATTGGGAGGGTGCTATCGCAAATGAACCTGTCAGACGAACGTCGCTTACTTTAACGTTAATTTTGCCGAATCACCGTGCTTATCACTGGGTGACAAGCTGTTATAATATGCTGAAAGCATTATGTAAATAATATATATAATATGTAACCAATATCACTTATTTCTAAGACAACAATAAACTCTGTATCTCGTCGGATGTCATTCCCCCGCTTTAAATGCTAGTGCTCCCAGTTTTTTTTCTGCAACCTCACTGTTTAACTACAACTACAAATGTTCTAGAAATGTTTTAAGTAATCTGAACAAGAAAACATGCTTTCCCTACTGAAAAAAACAGCTTAAACCAGCCTAGGCTGGTTGGCTGGTTTTAGCTGGTCGACCAGGCTGGTTTTAGAGGGGTTTAGGCCATTTCCAGGCTGGTTTCCAGCCATTTCTTAGCTGATCGGGCTGGAAGATGACCAGCTAAAACCAGCTTGACCAGCCTAGCCAGGCTGGGAGCCCAGCCAAAACCAGCTATGTCCAGCTTAAACCAGGCTGGTCAAGCTGGTTTTAGCTGGATTTAGCTGGTCAGTTTCCAGCCTGACCAGCTAAGACCAGGCTGAAAATGGCTGGAAACCAGCCTGGAAATGGCTAAAACCCCTCTAAAATCAGCCTGGTCGACCAGCTAAAACCAGCCAACCAGCCTAGGCTGGTTTAAGCTGGATTTTTCTGCAGGGTTAGCTTGACCAATATCTCACTTTCCTTTCGCTTGTGTTTGTGTGACCCAGGTAAAGGTGTTTTCCGGTTGGAGAGTGTATCACAGAAGCGTTGTCTCTCAGCTGACTCCTCGGGTCTATCGATGTCCAGCTGTGACCCCTCGTCTCCTGCCCTGCTTTGGAAATGGGTGTCCCGGCACCGACTATACAATCTGGGCACCAGTCGATGCCTAGGGATCAACACGACCAAGCAGCATGACGTTGGCATCTTTGAGTGCGATGTTTCCCTCCCAAGCATGTGGTGGCGCTGTGGGGGTGGCATGTTGTATGGAGCGATGAATAATAAGCTAGTGGCAGTGGACTCAAAAGTGGTGGTGAGAAGAGGTGCTCTGCATCAGTGGAGGATTTTTGGGGCGGCTGGTGAAGGGCCATGTGCTTACCCATATGAAGGTAGAGTTTTTTTCCCTAATTGATGTGCTATACACTGTTTACCTATACACTAAATTCCGTCTGATAAAGTTAACTGTTTATATTGGGTAGCTGATAATAATATATATTCTACAGCACAGTTACTAAAACAAAGGGCAAACGAAATTTTGAGTTAGCCACCACATCAAATAGCCTGTCCTAAATTTATTAGGATTTATTTTGACATTTTTGTCAAAATTGAGCTCATTCATATTTTCTTATTCGACTATGCGTATGTAAATTGTGTGTGTTTCTTTTAAAGTTGCATAGTATTTTATTACTTTTTATTTAGAAAACTTGATCCTAATATTGTTTTTGACATGTATAAAACTTTAAAGCTTAAAGTCTCAAAACCAACCAAACCCAATGTCAAAATCGTCATTGTCTAACTGATCATATAAGAGACTTACTGACTCATATGGTAATATCTGCTTTTTAACATTAAATATCTTTCATTCATTTATTTTCTTTTCGGCTTAGTCCCTTCATTAATCAGGGGTTGCCAAAGTGGAATGAATCGCCAACTTATCCAGCATATGCTTTACACAGTGGATGCCCTTCCTGCTGCTACCCACCACTGGGAAACATTAAATAATTTATTACCGCAATATTGTACAGTATTGCTGCATGTAAAGTTTTTCTCGTTTGGGTAGTTATATATGCTTAGTTTGATTACTGCTACTGTAGGTATAGGTTGGAAAAAATGGTCTTTCTTGTACAGTAGTTTTGTATGTTGATATTTTTTTATTTATGTAGCACTGTGGTCCAGGGAGACATGACATTTTGTTTGACTATATGTAGCAGAATGACAATAAAACTCGACTTGACTTGACTACCGAGGGACCTCTTAATGATAGTATTTACTGTTTTATTGTATGTTTTTATTCCTGACCTAAACTAAATTGGTCAGGAATAACCTGACTAATTTAGATATTGTTATTGAAAGAGACTAAGCTGAAAATAAAATGATTGAATGAATATTGTTATTGACAACTGAAGCTTTGTTTAGTTTGACAATCTTCTGCTTGTTCTAACAGATTGTTTTTTTTTCTGGCCATTGACAGACATTCACACACTTCAAGGAAACTCTCATGGCATGACCTGCTCCATACCCTTCAACTATAACAATAAATGGTTCTGGGACTGTACCTCAGAGGGCAGAGAGGACCGTCACCTCTGGTGTGCCACCACCAACCGCTATGATCAAGATGAGAAATGGGGTTTCTGTCCAAACCCAGGTAAAAAAAATATATTAAAAAAAAAAAAAAAAAAAAATATTTTTTCACACTGGTGAGTGGTTTTGACAAACCACCTGTAAGAGACACAATTTGTCATCTCCTGCATTTAGAGGAAAAATAACATAGCATTTATAATTTTTCTGCTCTTTGATGATTTAAAGTTGTTGTTTTTCTCACTTGTAAGTCACATTGGATGAACGCATCTGCTAAATGAATAAATGTAAATGAATATGTAAAGCCACTTAACTAAAAGTTAACTTTTCAAAATGTTTTCATTTAAAGACTTGCAGTATGTGCATTTTTTTAAGAAATTAAAGTGAGAGTAAAGTTTAAATTTTTTTACAATGTGTAGTATATAAACAGAGCTGTTGAATGATTGATTTCGATTAGCATTACAGGATCAATTCAACAATCTATGATATTATATTTCACTACTCTAAATGATGTCAGTTCCTTTATAGCATGCAAAAGTCAAAAATCAAATCAAAACTACATTAAAAGCTTTGAATGAGAAACTAGTACTACACACAGGAGCTGTTACAGGACAAAAACCTAGCAAATGTCATAAAACACAACATCTAAACTGAGTTTTAGATGTGACAATTGTAGTATAAGAGGAATTAATTAATAATAAAAACTCCTTACATTTATATAGTGCTTTTCTGGTCACTTAAAAGGCGTTACACATTTTTGGGTGGAATCTCCTCATTCACCACCAGTGTGCAGCATCCACCTGGATGGATTGGTGTAGAGGAGACAGAGTCTGTTTCTTAATATGCGTTCTTTAGCAATCTTGTGTCCCTGTGTTCTTGTGTAACATCATCAACTGCCAAAGTTCAGTTTCAAAACTCAAACTGCAAGAGCGGAGGATGCGTAAAAGCACCCGGATGTATTCTTAATATCAAGGATGCACGCCACAGATGCAGACCTGAGCACCAAACTCTAGAAGTCCCGGAAGACTTTGCGACTGGAGGTGGGAGGCACAGCATTTTATATAGATTTATTATTAAAGTTCAGAGAGATAACTTGTTTATCTCAAGAGTTTCCCTGAGTGAAAGTAAACATCACTACGAAAATCTTAATAAAGGTATGAACACATTCATTTTATTTGTTGAAATTCATAATAAAATCTGTTGTATTTGTATTGTGTAACATATATTTGTAAAGATTTATACATAGTATATATTGTGAAAAGGGGAAAAACAATATATCATTGGATGAATGCTGTAATGTTTGCATAATTTTCAGTTAAAAATACGTTAAGGTCATGTGACCATCAGGAAGAATGCAGCATCTCATTTCTCAGAGAACGCATTCTCTGTTCTTGTGGTCTCCCGAGTTCGTTCGTTGGTCTGAGGTAACTTGGTAAAGTCTTCACAAGAACCCAAGTCCAATCTCTGCTTTCTTGGAATTGAGAAACAGTCCAGAGCGATAAAGCCAATTATGATATGGGGATGGTTAGGAGGCCAGTGGGCAAATTTGGCCAGGATTAATCCCTTATCCTTTTTCGAAGGACATCCTGGGATTTTTAATGACCTCAGTAACTTCCCATCACTCATGTCATCCGGAAGACGGCTCTCACTGAGACCCCATCATTATACTGAGGCATTAGGACTCACATAGACTGCAAGTTTAGCACCCCTAACTAACACCATTTTCGGCAACAATCATGTGGTCGCCCGTCCAGGTACTGACTGGGCGCAGGCCTGCTTAGCTTCAATGGGCGACCATGTGAGAGCTGCAGAGAGCTAGCTGCTGGCTCTAGTCCAATTGACTCCAGTCTATTGAATTATTATAAGATAAATGGTGTGCAATATTTTCTGATAATTCAATGGCCTGTCATCAATTATTCCTTACACATTTCTTACATGAATATCTCACATAATGCACAATTTTCACATTTCTTATTTACATGGCTAGTACCTGAAATAAAAGTTGATTTCAGTTAATGATTTTCCCATCACAAAAGAAGTCTTAAGGTTAACTCTCTTTGTTTTTTTTTTCAGTGTCAGGCTGCAATGAATTCTGGGAGAGCCATCCAGAGCTGAATGCCTGTTACCAGTTTAACTTATACTCCATCCTAACCTGGAGCCAAGCTCTTACCTCCTGTCAAGCGCAAGGTGGAAGTCTTCTGTCCATCACACAGTCCAGTGAACAGAACTATATCAAAGGTATACACACGCTAAAAAATGTGCTCATTTTGTCATTTTGATATTAGTCATTTGTTTATTTTTTGACATATATGCTATAGAGTGGAGGAACTATGACGTCACTTTGTAGGCTAATCGGCTGCTAGCATAAAATTGGTTCCCTCGTGAAAATCCCTATAGGATTTTCCCATAGGGTTTTCGAAGAATGCAGATAATAAGCTCTGTGTTCAAACACGGTTTATTACACTTACACGTTTTGTCCAGCCAGATAATCCTCACACGAAAATACAACTTTGAGCACTTTTGGATCTTAAATGCAAACGCAAGACTTGAAAAGCTAACATTAGGCTATAAACAGACTACAGTGCCCTCGGGGCGCTCATCAGTGTCGTCAGCCCCACCCTGCTACAGACGACTTATCAAGCTTATTTTTTAGAAATAATGTCCATAACAAAGAGTTAATCTCTCTGTTTATTATATTATAATCCACGCTATATATTATAAACTAATAAATAAGCAAAAACACATAGACCTATGTGCCTTTTGGATCGTTTTTACGTGGGAAATACATCTGTTTTGCTTTGCGGTTGTTCTAAAAGTTTTAAAAATGTGTATGAATGTGCCTATATAGTATTATTATGAGACATATTTAAATAAGTGTATCGCTCGCTTGCACACAGCCCGCTTACCTTAACAGACGACAGAAATGAGGCGTGAGGAGGAACAAGTCAATCAAATGCTTGCAAATTCCATCAACTTGGGCACAGAGCAACATTCATAATTCCTTTTTTGTCACGACGTACAGCAAAAAGCAGCCCATACAGTCACATATGCTGAACTTTTTATGGAGGAGTGTAAATACTGCAGTTAAATGTGTTCAGATGAAGAAATAAAGTTGAGAAATCACTTGATCACGTTAAAATGACAGTTAACATGCACGTATTTTTACACATTTATTTACACGTTTGCATTACTGAGAGCAGAAAAGAAACAGGCTGCTGCACTGGTGAGCAGTATCTTCATAATATCGTTTAATTAAAATAAATGATCAACAAATTAGTCTGTCTTGACAGCCTTTACATGTGAAGGAATTATCTACACACAATTTGAATTCTCAATTAGAATAATACAACAAACTATAAAATAGTATTCATGAAAATACCTAAATCACAGACAAATCCAAACGGCCAACACAAGTGAGCTGCGCTCCAGACCAGATCAGCTCGATGACGTATAAATGTCCCCGACGCCGCCTGTAGTCCCATTTAGCAACTTGATAGCAACCGTCTTTTTAAAGAAGCATAATCGATTTAAAAGTTGAAGAGTGTGCTGTAACTGATGTTTTTTATGTCGTAGAACAAAACGTGAAAGTATCTTGAGTTGGTGTTCGCCACGGACCTTATTTAAGCGATTTTACTGAAACCCCATTCAAAAAACCCATTGACTTTGGGACGAGGGAACCGGAAGTGCTAAAATGCTAACTCGCTTCCGGGTTTTTGCATACAAATTGATGTCATAGTTCCTCCACTCTATTGCTGGTTTGAGTCTTACCATTAGATAATGGCATGGCATTAATGTATGCCAGATACATTTGGCTCGTGCACAAGCAAGGATTAATCCAATTTACAATGATGTGTTGTTGTAATTCATTCATTCATTTTCTTTTCGGCTTAGTCTCTTTATTAATCTGGGGTCGCCACAGTGGAATGAACTGCCAACTTATCCAGTATAGGTTTAACGCAGCGGATGCCCTTCACAGAATACCAGACTGTATTTTTCATTGAAGGAAAACACACTACCACAAAAGGACTATCTAGTTTTTTAAAAAGTACAGAAAATTAGGGCAGATGGTCACATGGGCTCATTTTTTTAGCACTTTTGTCGGTCTGGGCTTAGAAGTGTAAATGGAAATCCACAATGTTGGAAATGTTCCTTCTAAATCTGGTTTTGTGTTTTTAATTGGCGCATAACAGTTGTTATTGTGTTCCACCAGGAAGACTCTCAGATATGGGTGTGATGGTCTGGATTGGATTAAACCATCTCAGTCAGCACGGGGGATGGCAGTGGTCTGATGGATCTCCTTTGAGCCTTGTCGGTTATACTGCAGGTACAGCCGTTGTTTGTTTTTAATAGAAGCTATTTAAAAGGGCTCTAAAGGACAAATAATTAGGCTGTAAAAATGATTTTTGAAAATTTGTCAAATTCATAAATATAGCTTAAAAATATATCATATTAGATCCCTTGTCCAGTTACTGTCCTGTTATAATAAAGTAAAAAAAAAACACATTCTGAGATTGATCAGACTGCCAATTTTACCGTTAGCAGGTCACCATCAGTCCTGGGACATGTTTGTATTCACAAAGAAGCGTTCTAGCAATTTCATGCCAATTTTCTACACTGTAAAAAAAAACATGAAAAAAAAACATGAAAAAAATGTAATTTTCTGGCAGCAGGGGCGTTATACCGACAATTATCTGTAAAATAACATTTACTTTTTACAGTGTATGATCAATTATTGTTTAATAGGGGTTTTGCAAACCTGTGCTGACTCAAGCTGCAAACTGCTTCAGGTGGATCAGTCCAATCTGGTGAATTGGTTTAACGTAACCAGTTCTAAAGGATGATTTAGTTTGTATTTACATCCAAATCTTAAACCAATATTTTGACCGTGATTTTTTTACACTTTACCTCATATCCATTGTGTTTTCGTTAATCTCCAACATGAAAGATTTTGTGTCATTTTCTATGAGAACAATAATTGACTCTTACTTTATAGATGGACTTTCACTAATTAATCTGTTCAAAAGTCTAGAAAAGTATACTTAAGATCAGTTTATTACAAAAAAAGTTATATAATAAAAGCATTTTTTTTTTAAATACTGCAATCATAAAAAGGGCTGTAATGTATACACAACAGCTGTGAACCAGACGCCAAGAGTGGAATGAAATGCACACATTTAAAGCGAAGAAATGTGTACAAAAATTCTCAGGGGTATCCTAATTAATGTGTTGGTGCTCTTTGGGTAAGTTATTCATCAGAATAAACAGCAAAAGTCAGTTCAAGGCACTCGAAAAAAGGTGGAAAAAATAATAAAAATACTTTATTGACATGGCTATTCCTTAAAACTGCACCTATGCGTTTTGGCCAAAACTTGCCTTTATCAGGGTGACAGAGATCAGGTGCATATGGAGTTTCTTTTCAACACTATGGTCTCATGACTCATTAAAATATCTAGACCAGGGGTCACCAATCTCGGTCCTGGAGGGCCGGTGTCCCTGCAGGGTTTAGCTCCAACTTGCCTTAACACCCCTGCTCGGATGTTTCAAGTATACCAAGTAAGACCTAGATTAGCTTGTTTAGGTGTGTTTGATTAGGGTTGGAGCAAAATCTGCAGGACACCGGCCCTCCAGGAACAAGTTTGGTGACCACTGATCTAGACAATACTAAAATAAAATTTTGAACACAAGGTCAACTCAACAATCATTACCAATTCAGCATTGAGCAAGGAAAGAACAAAAACTGATAACCAGATAAAAGATGATGAGTGTTATAGTCAAGTGATGTTTAACAGAGCAAGGACTTTTTTATTAATCATAATATTGTATAGTATTTTAGTATTAGTTATGATTTTTTCTAGATGGTTATTTTATTAGTTTAGCTTGAATAAAAGAAGTTTGAATTTTTTTTTTTCAAGAGTTCGCACTTAGATATTGCTTGATAATAATGGCAGGTTTGGCATGCTGTCCTGGGAGAGAACCCTCAGCTCGGAGATGATTGAGCCCAGGGCTCCCGCCTGGTCAATGAGCATGTAAGGGAGTACGAGATCAGGTAGTTCTCGAGAGCTCCCCGTGGTAAAGGAGGAAAGGGGGAGATGGGGTGGAAGGGGGGATTCTTCAAAAAACGAAGATAAGGAAGTAATGCTAGTCGGCTTATTTATAGTGAGTTTGGAATGATCCGATTGACTTACTACCTACAGATGAGAAACGAGCCATAATCAATCATATCATGTGCTCCTCTTGAAGTTAGTTTGTGAAACTTCACTTAAAATTAAGAAAATATTTTAAGCCCCTTAATATATTTTGTTTGATTGTTAATATCTTGCCTAATTTAACCTAACTTGCCTAGTTACGCCTTTAAATAGTACTATAAGCTGAATTCTAGTATCTTAATTAACTAGTGAAGTATTATCTGTTGTCATCATATATAGCAAAGATGAAATAAATTATTTAATAGGAATTACTAGGTCCACATGGAATCTGCGCTCGCAGAATTCCGCAGATTTGTAGCCCATTATTAATTCTGCTTATTTACTTGAGTAAATGTGTGTAAATATATATTTATTACGTTTTTTAATTAGTTACAGTAATATTATTGACTAATATGAAAATGTTCATCTGATTTATGTACAATGCAGTTTGTACAGTAATATTTTGTGTCTTTTAGTAGATATATAAGAGACTTCCTTTATTTACCAAATAGAGTGGATCTAATTGGATTTGCACTTTAAATATTAAATACAAGTAAAAAGATATTATTTTTTATTTCACAAAATAAAGTTTTAGTTTACTCCCAAAATAATTCCGCAGAAATCCACAGATTTTTACCAAAATTCCCAGCAGAAATAGCAAAAAATGTCTGCAGATTCTGTCTGGCCCTAGGAATTAGTTATGTTTAAAAAATATAAAAATAAATCCCCCCACTGTTGAAAGACTTAGAAATATCACTAGGGAAATATTTAAAAAGAATGAAAATTTCACAGGATGTCTAATAATTTTGCCTTCAAAATACTGTATATGCATTAAATCCACATTTGGAAGTGGCCCCAAACTTTAAACTGATGTGGATTTTTGTGTTTTACATTGGGCAACATTTTCTGAGAAATTTCAGACATGACCAAAAAAATCTCAACATTTGAATTCTGATCTTGTGAATGAGCATAATATTGAGTGTTCATCAATTCTGTCCAGATCTGAGCTCCACACCAGTGCAGCAGAACCAGCAGTGTGGGCTGTTTAACTCCACTCTCGGCTCCTGGCAGAGTCTGTCCTGTGAGTCAGCCCTGCCTTACATCTGCAAGAAAACCACCAACTACAGCCGGAATGCCGAGCCGCTTGGTAAAGAGATGAGTGATCTGACTAGCCATGCATTATTCCTTTCATTAATCCAGCCTCTTTGTTCGTCCATCCATCCATTTCTAATAGCTCTTTGTCTTTCGTTCTAAAAAGTATGACAGATCACCAGACTCTCCATACACCTTATTTTCTCAAGTTCGGTCTAGTTTACTCTCCATGCCCAGCATGTGTCTGGAATGAGCGTGCTGTTATGTACAGATTAGTCACTATTGTTTCCTTGATGGTCACCATTGATTATGATTGGTTGAAAGAGAGGAATGTGTGCATGTCCTGAAAGGCACAACAGCTGTGGCTCATCTGGAGGCTGAACTCCTGGCCCTGGCTATCAAATACACACAAACACAGACATTCTCACATGGTGTGTGTAAATATAGAAACAGTCAGGGGCATCAGAAACAATACAAGAATCAGTCCTTTTCTCTTTTTTTTGTGTTGGCTTTGAAATCAACACTAGACAATAGGGATGTAACGGTATCAGAATTTCACGGTACGGTAATACCTCGGTATGAATGTCACGGTACGGTATTTATTGAATCATTTACAGGAAAAACAAAACTTATGAAAATACTCCCAAAAAAGTGCCAAAATTGTCAATGACATACAAATTAGCCATCTATCTGTAAGCTTTGAAACAGGAACTTCAATTTTAATAACAAAAAAATATTAAACCATGTAAAAAAAATAAAGTTTCAATTTAGTATTGTTGAAAACTCATCACATTCAACATTTAATCACTCACTCACTCACTTAGATAGAGATGGGTTTAAAGGAAAATTATCATATAAATATAATCTGGTAAAAGCTGGTATCTCTGGGCATTTACAATGTCCCCTGCAACAGAAAAAAAAACCTCTCATTTGGGACTGAGGTTTCTGGGACAAGAGAGATATGACTTGGCCCAGGTTGACAGCAGTGGGTAACGTTGTGCATTGTCTTTCCCCCACTTGAGAGGACAAACCATGAGTAAGATAGAGGTCTCATGTCTGCATCAATCTGAACAGTGTGCTGACAACACCGCTATTCAGTACGCGCGCGACAACACAGCTGATAAGAACTCGCGCGACAACACAGCTGATAAGAACTCGCGCGACAACACCGCTATTCAGTACGCGCGCGGCGACAACACCCGCTTTAGAGTTTTTCAGCTCTTTTTCATCCCTGCTTCTAGCAGCACACTCCATTTCCGCATTACTGGATCTGTAGCGACAACAGACCGCAAGGGATGATGGTCAAGCATGGGCTGATGGGAATTGTAGTTTTCGCTACCTCCCGTTCGCTTCATTCGCCTGAGCAAATTTTCTCAGAAGACCTATAGTTTTACCGAGTCATGCGACTTCGGTAATGTCGAAAAAAATTAATATTGCAGTATGACGGTATTTACAATACCGTTACATCCCTACTAGACAAGCTTTACTAAATAGAGCTTTGACCTTGACATAAAAATCAACTTTTATTTTGAACATCTTTAATGCTTCCAAACAGTTTGCTGCAATGTAAAGTGCACATGTCTTGAGGTAGTTCATTATGATGCATTTTACCTATGTGTGATTTGACTGGACAGGAATTACAGGACTGATTTTTCTAATTCCCATAACTAAGAAAAAATAAAGTAGTGACTGCAGGTTGAAGGAAAGTAGTGAAAGTACAGATACAGCACTAAAAATATACTCAAGGAAAACTAAAAGTACACATTGTCTGAAAAAGAAAACTACTCAATTACAGTAATTTGAGTATTTGTAATTAGTTACTTTACACCACTGCCTACAGACTAATGGCTGAGCTCATTTAACTCAGACTACCTAACTGCCAATAACTGATGAGCTTTTAAGTTTCTAGCCACACCCTAACTACCACATACTGCACCCTAGCAACTATCCCATGAACTTCCATTGCAAAAGACTGTCAAGCCCCTTTCACACAGTGATACCGGTAAATATCCGGAAAATTTCCGGAACGACTTTACCGGTATATATATAAAAAGGCGCTGTTCACACAGGCGAGGACGTTACGAAATTTTTCCGGAAAAGAGCATTCACACATCCATTCCAAAATGCCGGTAAATTCTGACATCATTAGCCAGAAATGACCTCTAAACGGCTGCGCTTGTGTTTGTAAACATTTGACTACATTACAAACTCTTTGGATGGATCAGTATTGAGTACAACTCCAATGAAAACATAGGGAAACAATTTCGCATGTCGAGATGTACATGATATGTGTGTGTGCTGGCGCTATGGGCGCTCACGGGCACACGCAAAGCTTGAAGGTAAACAAACAACAGATTATCATAAACATTTTATCAATAATTATTTACACAGTTAGCATTAAGAAGGAACATAGAAACGTTATCTGACTAACATCTAGCAGCTAAAGGTGTCTGGAAAAAATATTCAAAGGCTTTTATTCTCATAAACCGCGCGCACGTGAATGCGTCTGACTGTTCTGATTGGCTAAAGTAGACGTCTCATGTCAGCACGTTCTAAACGTGTACGTGCTCTTTCCAGCAATCTTCCTTCTGCATTCACACAGCGCAGCAATCCGGCAAATTACTGGTAATGTTACAACTTCTCTTTCGGAACGAATTTACCGGGTATTTTTAAAAAGGGCCTGTTCACACATACAACCTTTCCGGAAAATTGTTGGTAATTTTCCGGAAAGGTCTGTATGTCTGAAAGGGGCTAATTGACTTAACATTAGATCAAACTTTGTGATCACATTGCTTTCCTATCTGTCTGTCTGTCTGTCTGTCTGTCTGTCTTTGTCTGTCTGTCTGTCTTTGTCTGTCTGTCTGTCTGTCTGTCTGTCTGTCTGTCTTTGTCTGTCTGTCTGTCTGTCTGTCTTTCTTTTTTCAAACTGTTTTGAACTAAATAAATTATTACCAGCAGGCTTTGTCAAGCTAGCTTCAAAGTTTGTCTGGACAAAATTTAATAATATAGTATTTTTTGCAATACTTTACTTTGCATAAAACATATGCTGGATAAGTTGGCGGTTCATTCAGCTTTGGCAAACCCTTATTAATAAAAGGACTTAGCCAAAAAAGAAAATGAATGAATTAATAAATGTTGGTAATACTTTAGTTTAAGGATCAGTTCTCACTGTTAGCCAGTGGTCTATTGTTATGATATTGGCTGTTTATTAGTACTTATAAGGGATATATCTTATTCTACATTTCTAATACCTAGACCCCACTTCTACTTTAATAACTATCAATAAGCAAATAAGCATATTCAGCATATTCAGGGTCTGATGTTGGACAATGAACTTAAGTGTGATGGATGACTGCTTAAAGAAAAAGCTTTAACAGAGAATGTATTCCTTAATGAAAATATTGTCTTTTAATGCTGACAGCACATTGTTGATCATGTTCATAGTGCTTTTATCGAAAGTATTGCAGCATTTTGTGTAATCTGTTGGTATGGAAATGCTTCTGAGGCCCAGAAGAGGTCACTGGGGAAGTTGGTAACTACAGCCTAAAAGGCATTGATAGTACAGTTGAAGTCAGAATTACAGTATTAGCCCCCCTTTGAATTTTTTTCTCTGTTTTAAAATATTTCCCAAATCATATTCAGGAATTTTTTTAAGCATGTCTGATAATATTTTTTTTCTTCTGGAGAAAGTGTTATTTGTTTTATTTCAGCTAGAATAAAAGCAGTTTTTAATTTTTTAAAAACATTTTAAGGTCAAAATTATTAGCCCCTTTAAGATATTTTTTTTCTGATTGTCTACAGAACAAACCATCGTTATACAATAACTTGTCTAATTACCCTAACCTGCCTAGTTAACCTAATTAACCTAGTAAAGCCTTTTAAATGCCACCTTAAGCTGTATAAAAGTGTCTTGAAAAATATCTAGTCAAATATTATTTACTGTCATCATGGCAAAGATAAAACGAATCCATTATTAGATATGAGTTATTAAAACTATTACGATTAAAAATGTGTTGAAGAAATCTTCTCTCCGTTAAACAGAATAATTATTAATAATTCAGGGGGGTTAATAATTCTGGCTTCAACTGTATATACAAAGAAAGAGCACTAAATAAGGCCATCATGATTGTCAATGATGAGAGACATCCTTTATCATACACCTTCCAGTTGTTACCATCAGTTTATCAATATTGTGTTCCCAGTCATGTAAGAAATATGACAAAATTGTCATATATATCTCAAGTAATTCAGTTTTTAAATTCCTCCTCTCTCAGTAGCACTTGATGGCCAGTAAATTGGATATTTATTTAGAGTAGGGATACCAAGTTTTTTTTATTATTATTATTTATTGAAATAAATGCCAAATGTGAATTATCAGATGTGTCTGTTAGTGTATACTGCAAATGAAATTCCCCTACAGAGAGAAATACATTTAACTAATCAACTAACTAACTATAAGCCTCAAATTAGGAATTTGAGGCTAAATTAATTAATCAATGAAGTTAATGTTAAAAGATAATAATTGTAGCTTTCTTTTAAATGTTAATCAGCACAATGATATTTATTTTTAAATATTTCTGTTTATTTATCTGCAAGATAACTGGCAATATAAGGAGACGATTTGTCCTGACGGTTGGCTGGACCACAATGGTTTCTGTTACCTGTACCTGAAGGAGAAGGCGAGCTGGGACAACTCTTCCAGTGCATGCAGAGCTCTTGAGGCAGAGCTGGTCAGCATCCACTCCCTGTCCCAACAGGAAGTACTGCTCAAACTGCTCTCCCTTGGTTAGCTGGTCATTTTACTGAAGTCAAATCAAATATTGGTCACTTTAGGCTCTGTTTAAACTTGATATTAAAATGGATTTTTGTTGATCTAGTCACAAAGTGACAACGCTAAACACAAATACAGTCTTAAAGTGTTGAGTCAGACCACTTTTGATCACCATTGCATTTTTTTTATTAAAGTGTGCTATTTTTATATTATTTCTTTTAAACTAAAAATAAGAAAGTATACTCTGAAATGTGCCTTAATAGGTACTTTTCAGAAATATACTTAACATTGCACTTAAGTATAATATATTTAATATTTTAATACTTAAAATATACTGAAAGAAATGTTCATAGACATCTACTTAAAAGTAATAAGTATACTTGACTATGTTATGCTTGTGTATACTTGCATACGCTTTTAGTTTATTTAAAAGTATATTTTTTATACTAAAAGTGGCCCTATATTATACATAAGTATTCACAGCCTTTGCTCAATACTTTGTTGATGCACCTTTGGCAGCAATTACACCACCATGCTTCACTGTAGGGATGGTATTAGCCTGGTGATGAGCATTGCCTGGCCTTCACTCCAAATAGTTCAATTTTAGTCTGATCAGACCTCAGAATTTTGTTTCTTTTGGTCTGAGAGTCCTTCAGATGCCTTTTGGAAAATTCCAAGCGGGGAAAAGCTTCCATCTGGTCACTCTACCATACAGGCCTGATTGGTGGATTGCTGCACAGATGGTTGTCCTTCTGTAAGGTTCTCCTCTCTCCACAGAAGAACGGTGAAGCTCAGGCAGAGTGACCATCGGGTTGTTGAACATCTCCCTGACTAAGGCCCTCTCTAACAATCACTCAGCTAATATGGCCGTCCAGCTCTAAGAAGAGTCCTGGTGGTTCCAAACATCTTCCACTTACGGATAATGAAGGTCACTGTGCTCATTGAAACTTTCAGAGGAGCAGAAATTTTTCTGTAACCTTCCCTAGCCTTGTGCCTCAAGACAATCCTGTCTCAGAGGTCTACAGACAATTCCTTTGTCTTCATTCTTGGTTTGTGATTTGACATGCAATGTCAACCCTGGGACCTTATATAGACAGGTGTTTGCCTAGTCAAATCTTGTCTAATCAACTAAATTGACCACAAGTGAACTCCAATTAAGCTGCTGAAACATCTCAAGAATGATCAGTGGAAACAGAATGTACCTGAGCTTAATTTAGAGCTTTACGGCAAAGGCTATGAATACTTATGTACATGTGATTTTTCATTAATTAATTAATTTATTTTATAAATTTGCAACGATTTAAAAAAATCTTTTTTCACATTGTCATTGTGTGACATTATGGAATATGTGTGTAGAATTTTGGGGAAATAAATGAATTTAATCTATTTTGGAGATGAGGCTTTAACATAAGAAAATGTGGAAAAAGTGGAAAGCTATGCATACTTTCCGGATGCACTGCACATTAGATTAGTCAGTACTGAAGCCAAATCTGGAGATTATTCTCAATTTTAAATACAATTTAAATACAAATTTAAAAAAGAGGGAAAAAAAATTAAAAATAATAATAATAAATTAATTAATTAATTAAATTGTATAGGTTGTAATTTTTGTGCAATCAATTACTTAAATTTAATTGTATTATCTTTTAATTTCTAAAGATGTTTGGTTACTAAAATATTATTTTAATAAATATATCTGATTAATAAATATAAATGCACTAAAATACATTGCCTATATTCACTGAGAAATGGATAAAATTTCAAAATGGGGTGTACTCAGTTATGCTGAGCACTGTATATGTTCAATCCACTTAGTAAATGTGTAAATTTAACTTAATTAATTTGTGTAGTGACCCTGCATTTTTTTGTGTACTTTTTGCAAATTAATGCCCATTATCTGTTAGTAATTCACTGTGAACCATTCCTATATTGTTTTATTAGACTGTATGTGATTGAAGTTACACTGCTCACAGTATGTTGTTATTATTTCAGAACCCAACTCTAAGGTGTGGATCGGTTTGCACAAAGAGGCCACACTTCAAACAGTCCAATGGTCGGACAAATCTCCAGTCAAATTCATATCATGGAACTCACAGGAGCCTACACGTCGATATGATGACAAGCGCATCTGCGTTACCGCAGACCCGAAGGTGAGTTCTGATTATTAATGTCACAGGATACTAGTCATAATCCAAGCTCACAGCATGTGGTCAGAAAGCAAGCACGTGTCTGACCGCATAAATCAGACGGCAGCTGGGAGAAAAAGGCAAGATCTGATTTCAGAGACAGTCACTGCATGAACGCTTTATCCTGGGTGATCAGATGCACAGTCACTAGTTAGTCACAGCAGTATAAGGTCAAATGACAGTGCCGGCCTTTTATCTGTACTTAATGAAGGGTCTCGTTGTGTGTGTTTTAGCAAGGCAGATGGCAGTTCGAGGAGTGTGAAGAGCAAAACGCAGCGATTTGTAAAGCATCAGGGCTTGTTCCTCAGCGTCCTGCTGGAGAATGGGATGAAGGATGTCCAGAGGTGAGAATTTACACCCAAAAATGAAAAATCCCTCACCATTTACTCACACGCAAGGACTTCTAATTCATTAACCTTCATGGTAGGACCAAAAAATGCTATGCGTTCCAGCATTCTTCAGTATATATTCCTTTATATTTGGAAGAAAGAAACTCAAACAGGTCTGGATTTTTTTTCTTTAAATAAATCCCTTTAAAAGTTTCAGTACAGTTCAGGTCAAGAGAAATTAAATTAATAATCTAATGGAAGTGCCCTGTAAACGAAATAGTTTTTCACAAGACTGTGATGATGCATTTAATGGTCATAAGCATTATATCATCTTTCCATCAAATAAAATAAAAAATAAAAAACAACATCTACCGCTAATGCAATATGTTTCTAAAAGCTGATTTATACTTCTGTGTCAAGCTCACGTGTATGCTTTGGTGCAGGCTACACGTGGATGTATTACCCTCGCCGTGGCCATCAATGTCACTTGCCGAAGCATAGCGCAAGCTCTGTGATTGGTCAGCTTGATATCGCTGATGAGTTTGGGCGGAGGTGAGAGCTGCACGAACCCGATAGAGGGTAAAGTCTAGATCGGATATGCGGCCCGCCAGAAGTGCAATATGCACATTAATATAGCAGCATTTTTTATAACACTGTATACCAATAATTCATTTTAAAATTAATGTATTGAGTAATTTAATAGATAACTTAAATAATACTCGGTACAACTACTGTTTTTATGTTACTGTGACGGTTGGGTTTAGGGTTGTGGTGGGGGTAGACGTTAATAAAATACAATAAATGGGAAATTTAATAAATAATAGAAATAATTCTCTTAACTTCCAGCCGCAAGCGTATCAGATCTAGCTACAACCCCAATGGTGCGAGTGTTTACAAGTGTGGATTCCTTTAAAAGAGCTCCAGATGGAAACTGTTGTTTTGTGTTCACCTTATGATTAAAGTTGTTGCACGTTCGCTAATTCCCACCTCAAAATGAGCGAGTTTAAACCACATTAAGGAAGCGTTCAGAAAATAACAAAACACCAGCGAAGAAATTCAACACAGAGGAACATAAACGCCTAATGCCAGCTAGCGTTTCTGAAGTGTTATTGCAGAGCAACAGAAACAACGCGCAGAGATATAAATGCACAGCCATGCGCATTGCATGCACTGTGGGTTACGCAGATAGACGCAGAAGTATAAACCAGGCTTGATGTAGCATCTATATGAGCAGGACAGTAAACTTGTCATTGTTCTCTCTTTTGGCTGCTGTTAATAGTCTGTAGTGATTCAGACTGAGTTTTTCTTTTACTATTTTAGCAAATAAGAATGGCAAAAAATATATATGTGGTACTTTCCCATTCACTGTTTTCTACAACCCAGGCTCATTCTGAAAACGTAGTCCTGCAGACGTTTCTGGAGACCGCAGAATACGTCAGGGGAGGTACATACGGCTGCAGTTTTTGTTTTTGCGAATCTCTGAGAGGCCGCTGTGTGTGCTTTTTCGCATCTCAAATGCCTCTCGCGAGTGCTGTTTGCGCCCACACTGTTCTCGTGTGAACCCACCAGAGGCCGCTGTCTGACTGACTGGATGATTGACTGCACGACCGGCCAATCAACTGACCCACCCTCCTCCTTCCCTAAACCCAACCAATTTTACAGATTGACCCGCCCGCCCTCTCACTTCCCTAAACCCGAGCAACAATTTACAAAAGCCGTCCAAAATAAGAAAAGATTTTTGTTTACCGCGTTTTCGGATTTCACCACATTCTCACCCTGTTATGAAACTCGTTCACTTTATTTTTTGGATTCTGTTTTTGTCTTACCTGATTTCTGGAACTGCTCTTCCCCGGACTCGAAACCGATCGTCGTTGTCAACTCCTGTCTGCATCTCAAGTCTGCCGACGTACACGATGAGCTGAGTGGACAAACGGGTTGCAGCGGGAAAGCCCTCCACACGGAAGTAAGCGGTCGACCGGCAAGCACAAAAGGGAACAGCGTCACACCGCCCCGTAGCGTCCGCTTGAAAAAAATAAATGCAGCCGTACGTACCTCCCGGGACGTATTCCGCTGTCTCCAGAAACGTCTGCGGGACTACGTTTTTTCAGATTGAGCTTGGGTTGGTGTTCTAAGTTTATCCAACTATAATGATTTCCGCTGCTGAGAATCCCGAAAATGTGAAAACCGTCCATTGTTTTATATTAATAAAAGAACAAAAAAAAAAACAAAAAAAATTTTTTAAGAAAAATTATTAAATACTATACTATATCTATTAAATACTATACTGCTCAGAAAAATAGAGGGAACACTCGGAGATATGTTGTGCTGTTTAGGCGTTCCCTTTTAATTATTTTTTGAGTAGTATATTTTTATGAATGCTAATAAATACTATTTTAGTGGTCTACTTTAGCAAACATGCTGACATCACACACGCTGTTGCATACATCTGTATCCAAACAATTTAGCTGTAGACTTTCAGCACATTCAATTATCTCCTAAATTATTTACGAGGGGTGGCACTGTGTTTTAGTGGTTAGCACTGTCGCCTCACAGCAAGGTTGCTGGTTCGAGTCCCAGCTGGGCCAGTTGGCATTTCTGTGTGGAGTTTGCATGTTCTCCCCGTGTTGGCCTGGGTTTTCTCTTGGTTTCCCCCACAGTCCAAAGACATGCGGTACAGGTGAATTGAAGAAGCTAAACTGGCCGTAGTTTATGAGCGTGAATGTGGGAGTGTGTATGGGTGTTTCTCAATGCTGGGTTGTGGCTGGAAGGACTCCCGCGGTGTAAAACATACGCTGGATAAGTTATCAGTTCATTCTGCTGTGGCGACCCCTGATAAATAGCTGAAAAGAAAATGAACGAATGAATGATTTGTGAGGGGTGTACTTATATATGCTGAGTACTATATCTGAATTATCGCTTTCAGTATAAAAAAATCATTTACTCACCGCTTTGTCATCCAAAATGTTGATGCCTTTTCATTTTTTTATTTATTTTTTTTGGAGAAAAGCATTCCACAATTTAACCTCATAAACAATTTTGATGGTGCTTAGTTGTTTGACCTCCGAATTGCAGTTTCTGTGCAGCTTCTAATGGCTCTAAATCAGTGGTTCTCAAACTGTGGTACATGTACCACGAGTGGTACGTGGGCTTCCTTCTAGTGGTACACGCATGAATCAAATATGTCATATGTACATGCTACATATATTTAAATAAATGATCAAAAATTATTTATTTATGAATATGATGACATAAAGCCTATATTTATGAGGTCCATGCAACATTTTCAGGTGCTGATAAACCAGGATTTTTTTTTTTTTTACTTTTTAAGAACAGTAACATTACATTTTTAACTTTTAAAAGCACATTTTAAATTAAATGTTCTTAATATTAGGAACTAATATGCCTCGTTTTTGAACTGTACAGAGTTTTAGCTGCTTTACTGGACCTAATATGCTGCTGTATTTCAATACTCCTCATTATGGTGGCACTTGCAAAGACAATTTTTTTCTGAGGTGGTACTTGATGAGAAACGTTTGAGAACCACTGCTCTAAATGATACTAGCCGAAGAATAAAGGTCTAGTGTAACGATCTAAAATGTACTTAAATAAAAATTGAAATATGTATTTTATTTATTTATTTATGTACTACAAAAGCTTGTCTTGAATTTTGACTTTATGCATTATGTAATCACGTTAAACGTTAAATTTAATGTGTTTAAATGTTAGATTTTGTTAATCAACAAAAATTTAGCCGTGAAGCCACTAAATCAAGATATTGCTGCAAAAATGCCCATGTATGAGATTTTGTCTAATATTTACAAAACAGTCTCATGAGCAATGAGTGCATTATCACGTGTGTGTGTGTGTGTGTGTGTGTTTTCCCAAATAGCATGAGTAAATATGTGATACTGAAATTATATAGTAAATAACAGGTCATCTGTTTTAGAATTCTCCTAATAAAATTATTACAGATAAAGCCACAGCGGAAGTGTTGTGAGTCTGCAATACGATTCTAAATCAATCTCAGTGTTGTGAATGAATCAAACATCTAATATTATGATTTAAAGGTAAGGCAGGTGATTTTAGAGGCTAGCAGGTGCTAAAGCTAAAGATCCTGGATCCTCAGTCTCCAAAGCCACAACTCCTCCAAAACACATGAGCACACACAGTCTGTCACACAGACTAGAAGTAACACGTGAGATTACCTCATCATGTCTCATTCAACAGTGCGAAAACATCACAGTTCAAAGCTCATAATATTACGCTATCACCATAATAAGGGCACATAATAAGCATTTTACCCTAAGGCACGCACAATTTTACAGGTTGTTTTTTTCAGTGAGACCACTGCATTTTTAGAACCGCAGCACTGTGATGAAGTGCTGTGTTCACAGTGTTTTTTTAATGCACTGGCAGTTGGAGTTAAAAGCAAGACTGCACAACTGTTTTTTGAAGAGCGGAGATATTATCAGCTTCTTCAGTGTCATGTGATCTGTCAACCTGCATAGTGGGAAATTTAGGAAATTTGGGAATGCAGTGTTGACATGACCTGTTAACGCGACAGGGTGTGCAGAGGAATGCAAATCCACTTCTTGACAGGCAGATAGGACAGCCTATTGCAATGTTTATTATCATTATTTTTTGGGGTCATACAGCTTTCACAGACAAAAGAAATACATTTAGACCACTTAACTTAATGAGCGCTATTGAGATTTGAATAGACTTTTTAACCAGCACACCATTTTTTTAACTAAATCACCTACTCTGTCTTTAACCTTTGTGTGTTTTGGTTGTTTTCATCCACTCTTGAGGTGATTTTGAGTCTTAAATTGGCCTCAACCTTCTCTATGTTTCAGAAAATGGAATGATATTTGGTGACAAATCTTATTTTGACACATATTTTTGGAAAATGCTTTAAAAAAAAAACTCAACTGTACATTCTGGGCAAATTTGCTAGCTTTTCATTATGTTGGTGGCTGTTTTTGCTCCATTATAATATATATATATACATATATACATATATATATATATATATTATAACAACATGTTTGATTGCAAAGCCAAGATACCATATAATCATGCTTTCTTGGTTGTTGGTGGTTTATCTTGTTGGGAAGAGGTACAAACTGTCATTTCTATTGTTGACTATCAGTTGCAGTGCAAAAAAGCTTAGTTTCTGGCTTTTACAGTATATGGAATTAAATGGCACATCAGCTCTCAAAACCTAGTAAATATTCATTCATTTTCTTTTCGACTTAATCCCTTTAATAATCTGGGGTCGCTTCCGTGGAACGAACCGCCAACCTATCCAGCATATGTTTTACGCAGCGGATGCCCTTTCAGCTGCAACCCCTCACTAGGAAACATCCATAGATACTTATTCACTCACACATACACTACGGACAGTTTTAGCTTACCCAATTCACCTATACCACATTTTTGGAAACCAACACAAACACGAGGAGAACATGCAAACTCAACAAAGAAATGCCAACTAACCCCAGCAGGGGCTCGAACCAGCGACCTTCTTATTGTGAGGCGGTTGTGCTACCCACTGTGCCACCATGCTGCCATAGTCTACATCAGAGGTCACCAATCTCGGTCCTGGAGGGCCGTTGTCCCTGCAGGGTTTAGTTACAACTTGCCTCAACACACCTGCATGTGTACTTCAAGTATACCTAGTAAGACCTTAATTAGCTTGTTAAAGTGTGTTTGATTAGGGTTGGAGCTAAAATCTGCAGGACACCGGCCCTCCAGGAACAAGTTTGGTGAGCCCTGGTCTACATAGTAAGTGTATTTATGCATTGACACTATAGTTTACTATTTTACTCCAAAGAACTCTGTATAAAAGTTTTGCCAAAAACGTTTTTGCACAGGCCTATCTAAAGGGTTAATGGTGCCAACCAGTGATTAACAGTAAAAAAAATTACTTCCCAACAGGGAAAACCACCAACAATCAAGGATAGATGATTATTTGATCATTATAAATTACATTATAAATAAAAATATCATTATAATAGAAGTCAATGGGGCAAAAACGGCCAACAACATATCGAAGGGGTAGTAAATTTGAACAATACACAAGGGTTATGATCAAAATTCAAAATTAAAGTTCATCATGAACAACAAACCACAAAATATTCCTCAAACCAGTTGCAAACACACAGATCTTATTTAAAAAACATTGTGTGGTAATATTCCTCCGGGTGCTCCGGTTTCCCCCACAGTCCAAAGACATGTGGTACAGGTGAATTGGGTTAGCTAAATTGTTGTTAGTGTATGAGTGTGTGTGTGTGTGTGAAGGCATGTTTCCCAGAGATGGGTTGCGGCTGGAAGGGCATCCGCCGCGTAAAAACTTGTTGAATAAGTTGGTGGTTCATTCCGCGGTGGCAACCCCGGATTAATAAAGGGACTAAGCCGACAAGAAAATGAATGAATATATGGAAATCTTAATTAAAGGTTTTTCTAAACCAGATCTAACTATGACAAAAAAAATCTTGAAAATCTCATTACCAGCACTCTCATTCCATCTGTGTTCCTGTGTTTCTGATGGGCTGTGTTTGAGCTGGGCTTTGTGTGGAGGGTGAGGAGGGCAGACAGGCCGTGTGTTTGGGGGACGGAGTGGCCATCAGCCAGGGTGACAGCAGGTCACAGTTGGAGAACAACAAACTGATTCAGATCTCTTCTGACGCTCTCTTTCTGCTTTTACTGGCTATGAAACAAACAGAGACAAACATGATGATTATGACCTGCTTCATAAAGGCCACTTTACAGAAATGCACATGTGCCGTATGTGTCACACCCACACATAACGTAAAAGACAACCTTTTGTCTATTGTGTGTTTACGGAAAAAGGCAAAAGCATTTAATATGGTGATTTTGTGTGTGCGTGTGTGTGTGTGTGTGTGTGTGTGTGTGTGTGTGTGTGTGTGTGTTGTGTGCACAAAATATCCACAAATATCCACAATATCCATTATCTTTTATATAAATTTTTAAACTTAAAATTGAGAATCAGCTTAAAATATCTACTTTCATATCAAGTTTCATCTTACAAAGTTCAGAATCTGCTGTCCGGCTGCTGTTTTGATGCTGTTTGTTTAAGTCTGGGTCAGGTTATTTGAAGGTTAATGCATAAGGCTTTTGGGTTGAGGGTTAATGGAGGACAGGTGTGAAAACACAGCCAGATGCCACCAGAGATTTAAGGGCTAAAGCTGCTCCCCAAATTGAATGTGTATATTAAGATCAATGCAATATTTTTTTCTATATATGTTGTATAATTAGGCTTACTGTGTTTTCCAGAAATATTGCATTACCTGCAAAAAAAAAAAAAAAAAAGTGTGAAATGCTTTTTATAAATAAACTTAAACATTAGTGTCTGGTTTGTTGATATTGTGCATGTTTTGAACACTTTTTCAGATGATAAAAACAGCTATTTGTATTACAGAAAATGCTGTACTAATGTTATGAGAGATGGTATTATTATTGGTGGCTTATTACATACCACGGTCCATCTTTAACATTGGAGAAAGCATACAATGTGTTAAAAGGGATAGTTCACCCATTCTGCAGTCATTGATTCACCCTTTACTTGTTCAGAAGCAATATGAGTTTCTTTCACAAAAAGAAGATATTTTGAAGAATGCTGGCTTCATGCATTTATTGACTTCCATAATATTTTTTTCGCTACTGTGGAAAATGTATTTATATAGTAATATCTGTTGAAGTTGTGTGACAGTCAATGACTCTTTTCTCATGTGCCATGTAGGCATGGGACAATAATCGTTTTCAATATATACTGTGGTTTGGAAAAGTCAAGGTTTTAAAACTGACAAAATGTTCTGCTATACTGTTCCTACGGTATATGTACAATTTTTTATTTACATTTTTTTTTAGTTTTTTAGGACAACAGTATCTCCAGCTAGAAATATTTTCAAAAATGCCATTGTAAATTGTAAAGAAATCTGTGTTTTTGAAACTAATGAAGTCAGCAGAAGTCAATGAGTCACTTTAATTATTTAGCCTGACGTGTTTACTGCTCAAAAATATTTTAAATGTTTCTCAAAATAAAATATTTTGTGTTGAAAGGAGAAAAAGTTTTAGTTTTTTCCCCCAGACATTTTAAAAGAATATATTTTAGAGCAGTAATTACAATACGAAACCGTGATAATTTTATCCAAGGTTATCATACAGTCAGAGACTTATACCAGAACACTCCTAGTGCCATGGACTCAATTATATTTGTGACAAAATTATCAATAATTTTTCTAAAAAAAGCATTTTTTCTGAAGTAAAATTGTTTTTATTATCCAAGTTTACCCACTCACTCATTTACTATCCTTCTGCTTAGTCCCTAATTTATCAGAGGTCACCAGACTCGCCACAGCGGAATGACCTGATGATTGCTCTGGCATATGTTTTATGAGGCGGATGTCCTTCCAAATGTCAAAGCTGTCGATTTACATAATCAGCCATTTTCCCATAAATGCATAAAACAGTGTTATTCTTATTTTTTCTAACCTTAGATTATTGTCTTTTAGCAACGTTGGTATTATTCCTTTAGTTTGGAGTAATATGGTACACTAATACTAACTTTCTACTTACGAATTCCATGCAATACTCTGCAGAGTAAAATCTGTTTTATATTTACACCTTATTGTATGTCAATGAAGAAAGGCATTCCAGCATCTGTTCATGGTTAATTGTGTATTGTGTGCCTGTGCAGGGCTGGAGAAGGAAGGACAACTGGTGTTATAAGATCACAGATCAGGAGCAGACATTTCAGGATGCTGTGAAAGGATATTATTGCAAATCACCTCTTGTCACGATAGAAAGCAGGTATGTCAACAAAGACATTACAGAATCTTGGAATTGATCAGGATTAAGTGGTCATTAACTCATTAACTTTGAACATTGATGACTTAGTTTGTACTTAAATTGTTGTTGACTGATAGATAATAAAATTGCTAAATAATATTGCGTAATATCTTAATTTTTCAAGTAGTCTGTTCAAATCTTGTCCCTTTGTGCCCTCTTGTGGCAGTGTTGCAAATGGGTGTTACACCTAAAACACAATTTGCTTATCCTTTTGTCCCTAGCGGCATCACACGCGGCAGTAGTGGCCATTCTGAACTCTCATTCACACACTGTATATAGTATATTATCATGCTGTAACGTCATGAGAACCAAGAAAAACATATTTAAAAAAACATTTATATGTTAGAATAAATAATTCTGGAGGATTCGTCAGAAATATAAACCAAGCTGGAATAACCTTATACAAGAATAATCAAAGAGGGGTCATATTTTGCTTGTAAGGGTCTCCAACAACAGTCTAATATGCATGCAAGGTCAAAAAACACTTTCATGGTCTTTTAATGTGCATTTTTTTTTTACCTTATCATCCATATGAATCATTCACCGCTTTTATTTGTTCCAAAACCCCTCTTTAGCGCGAAGCTAATCTGCGCTGATTGGACCGATGACAGCCTGTTGTGATTGGTTGACACTGACAGCGTTTAGCATGAGACAGAGTGAAATGCCCAGCACAGCTTATCAACAATATAGAAGTAGTCAGAGTACATTGTGTATGTGTGAGCATACCTGCCAACACTCCTGTTTTTCCCGGGAGTCTCACGTATTTTGGACCCATCTTCAGCCACCCACCCATTTTTTATTTTTCCCGGAAAACTCCTGTAATTTTAACCCCTCACCCCTCTGTTTTCGTACCGTCGTTGGAACCCAACTGTGGTCGCCAACATTGGCATGGGATCCGATTGCAGTGGCCGCCCGAAACACCGAAACACGCTTCATAGTAGTTACTAACACAATAGTACACAGTACCTGGTTCTCACCAGTGTTATCAGGGCCTGGCGACATCCGCAAACCCCCCTGGTCCTCACTTTCATCTGAGACACCCACCCCCTCCCTCCTGGTCCTCACTTTTATCTGCGAAACGGTCACTTTTTCACTTTTGGGTTGATGGTGGCATGATCATCGTTTGCCTAGAGCACCAGTTCAGCTTACTCCGGGCCTGTTATTCAGATGCCTCACCCCAAACATAACCCCCACACCCCATCCCCCACACTTCCAATTATATACAGCTGAGCACAGCGTTGATTCAACAGGCGTCTGCTACAGTGTGTGTCTAGCCTCTTTTTCTTTGTGTACTGTGCTTGTGGGCAGGAAAGCAGGTATAAATTTTCCCGTGTTTGCGCGTGCAACAACTGGGCGGGGCTTAAGTTTCATATCCACATCACGCCGTAATAGCTAAAGACTCGTTATCAAGACGATTCATTAGAAGTACTAGGAGTCGACTCTTTTATTCAATTAGAGCTGTGTTAAACACTACATGGAAGGTCATTCTCAAAATCCCATAATAGGGGCTCTTTAAGATATTCACATCTCAGGAGAATCACAATTGGACTTTGTATTTTTTTCTGCGGCAGGTTTGAGCAGGCCTTTCTAAAAAGTCTGATCAGTGAAATGGGAGGCTCTGACTCTCAATACTATTGGACAGCTTTACAAGACCTGAACAGAACAGAAGAGTATCGCTGGCTGACTCAGAATGGCTCAACAACACCCCTCACCTACACCAACTGGAATCGACACCAGCCGGGTAAGCCTTTACAACAGTTGAAATGACAGTATGCCACTATTATAATTTTTTTGTATATGACCTGTAGTGTGTATTTTAATTGTTTTTAGTGAATGTAAATGTTTAGCAAAGTTTTAAAGATCAAAGTTCAGGATAAATACACTGCAAAAAATGCTTCTCTTACTTAGATTTTTTGTCTTGTTTCTAGTCCAAATATCTTACAGTTCTTAAATCAAGAAGAATTTTCTAGACAAGCAAAACATATTGCCTTGTTTTCAGCAGTAATATGCCAAAATTAAGTGAATTTTTCTTAAAACAAGCTAAATAATCTGCCATTGGGGTAAGCAAAACAACCTTGTTTTTCCTTTTGACATAAGATTATTTTGCTTACCCCATTGGCAGATTATTTTGCTAGTTTTAGGTAAAAACTTACTTAATTTTGGCACATTATTGCTGAAAACAAGACAATATGTTTTGCTTGTCTAGATAATTATTCTTGATTTAAGAACTGTAAGATATTTGGACTAGAAACAAGACAAAAAATCTAAGTAAGAGAATAATTTTTTGCAGTGTACAAAGATCTGTCATGAACTTCTATTGGGCAAACAAGCTGATGAGGCTTATCCAACTGCACGGCGCAGGTGATTGGTTGCTATCACCACAGCAGCCAATGAGCTTACTCCTTAACATTTAAACACAACCCCAAATCAGAAAAAGTTAGGACAGCATGTAATAGGCAAATAAAAAAGAAAGATTTCATATCTAAATTTACTTTGACTTGTATTTCATTGCAGACAAAACAACAAACATGATTTAATATTGTTCCTTGTGATTTTTATTTTTTTCAAAATAAACATGCATTCCAATATTGGTTCTTGCAACACATTGAAAATAAGTTGGAACAGTAAAGCATTTACTTTGTAATGTTGCCGTTCCTTTTTTTTACAACACTTAAAAAACGTTTTGGCACTGAAGACACCAAGTAATGAAGTGTTTCAGGTGTAATTTTGTCCCATTCTTTCTGCAAACTTCCTGCTAAGTCTTAAGTTGGGCAACAGTATGGGGTCTTTATTGTCGCATTTTGACCACACATTCTCTATTGGAGACAGGTCGGGACTTCAGACAGGTCAGTCAAGTACTTGTATCCTCTTCCTCCACAGCCAGGACTTTGTAATGTGTGCAGCATGTGATTTTGCGTTGTGTTGATAAAATATGCATGTAACTACGTATTGTGGTACTTAACCAAGGTTTGCCCAAGTGATCCTGTGCCCATGTGGTAATATCACATATAGATAAATGACGATTCTTGATGCAGTGCCGCCTGAGGGATCAAAGATTACAATTGTTCAGCTTAGGCTTGCACCCTTGTCCTTTACCACCAAAATTCATCCAGATTCCTTGAATCTTTCAATTATGTTATGCACTATTGAAGGTGAAATATCCAAATGTTTTCCTATCTTTAAGGAACATTTTTTTAAACATTTCTATAATTTTCTCATTTATCTGTTAGCAAAATGGCGAACCTCACACATCTTTACTCCTAAAGGACTAGACCTTTCTTGGATGCTGCTTTTGTACCAAATCCTAATTACAATCACCTGTTGACATCACCTGTTTTAAATCACCTCATTATTTCACATTTATTTACCTGATTACTAGCCTTAAACTGCTACTGTCCCAACTTTTTTTTGGAATATATTGATAGGAATATCTTAATGATAGGAAAGGATGTTTATTTACAAATGAAATGAAGTTGAAAAAACAAAACATGAAATATTTTGTGTTCATATTTTCTGCAATGAAATACAAGTCAAAGTAAATTTAGAAATGACAATTTTTTTTATTTGCATTTTTCACACTGACCCAACCTTTTCTGAATTGAGGTTGTACCTCAATAAATGTAAATTTTGTTTTGTGGTTAAAGTTGTTGCACGTCCGCCGGTTCCTGCCTCAAAATGAGCGAGTTTGAGCCACTTGTACATTTAAGAAGCATTCAGAGAAAACAAAACACCAGCAAGGAAACTCGGCACAGAGCAACATTAACACCTCACTGCCAACTAGTGTTTTGGTTCTGTTATTGCAGAACAACAGAAACAGCACGCAGAAGTATAAATGCACAGCTACGCGCGTTGCATGCGCCATGGCTCACGCCAATCACTTGACCCAGAAGTATAAACCAGGCTTAAATGTGAATGCTATGTTTGTAGCTTCACTGTGTTATAGGGCCCTATCATACACCCGGCGCAATGTGGCGCAAGGCACGACGCAATTGTTGTTTGCTAGTTTCAGCTTGACGCAAGAGTCGTTTTTTACATTTTGCACCACGCTGTTTAAATAGCAAATGCATTTGCGCTCATATGTGCACACATAGGCCTTCTAGTCTAAAAAAGGAGGCGTTTTGAGGCGCATCGCTGGCACATTACTATTATTGAGAAACTTTAATAGACTTTTCAATAGACCAGATCAAAGCCGGTCTAAAGGCCAGCGCAGTGGGTTAGTTGTGCGCCTCGCTTACACACTCCCTAATACTCAAGATGTAGAGCAATACGCAAATATCTTTACATATGAAAAATAATTAAAATATTAAGGATATATAGGATATAAGGAAATATATAGGATATAAATATAAATTATTAAAATATTACATATTATTTTCTAGCCTACATACAGTTGAAGTCAGAATTATTAGCCCCCTTTTTGATTTTGATTTTCTTTTTTAAATATTTACCAAATGATTTTTAACAGAGCAAGAAATTTTTCACAGTATGCCTGATAATATTTTTTCTTCTGGAGAAAGTCTTATTTGTTTTATTTCAGCTAGAATAAAAGCAGTTATTAATTTTTAAAAAAAAATTTTGGGACAAAATTATTAGCCTCTTTAAGCACATTTTTTTTTTCGATAATTTACAGAACAAACCATCATTATACAATAACTTGACTAATTACCCTAACCTGCCTAGTTCACCTTATTAACCTGGTTCAGCCTTTTAATGTCACTTTAAGCTGTATAGAAGTGTCTTGAAAAATATCTAGTCAAATATTATTTACTGTCATCATGGAAAAGATAAAATAAATCAGTTATTAGATATAAGTTTTTAAAACCATTATGCTTAGAAATGTGCTGAAACAATCTTCCCAGAACAGAACAGAAATTGGGGGAAAAAATAAACAGGGGCGCTAATAATTCAGGGGGGCTAATAATTCTGACTTCAACTGTAAATGTTAAAACCATACTTTCATGCCTTCTTCATCTCGGGGGACTTTTTCAGTTTATTCGTGACAAATTGCTTTTGTATAATGTTATTATTATTAGCAGTATTATTTATTATATCATATTTATATTTGTTTTATTAAAAACAAGCTTAGATTTGCCCACCTGTCAGGTTTTAGACCATATGGGGCACAGCATGTGTATTAGGATATAACTCCGCTTTTTAAACACACTTCATCATTATTATTCATTTATTCGTTTGCTGGAAATTAGAGCTGAATTTAGAAATAATTTTGAAACAAATCTTTACGCTTAACAAACAAAATTAATTATTTACAGGCTAATTAATGTCTCTGTGTACAAGGTTTCCCTATCCACAAGAGCAAAAGTAAAAAATAAATAATAAGAATATCTCTCATTCTCGTGCTGCAGATGCTCTGTTTAACTGTTTTCTCTCTAGTGAAGTGTTCAGTTTTTCCCCTTAAAAAGTTGCCATGTGAATAGCAAATGCACCATGGCGGGATGCAACTGTCTCTTAAAGGGAATGGGAGATTGGACTCTGATTGGTTTATTCCCAAAACACCAATCCGTGCAAAGCGGATTTTTCCATCCTTATATTAGCAAAAGTGGATTCAGACATGCTCTTGGTGCGTTTGCGCCAAAATAGAGCCCATTGTCTCAGACAAATATGCCAGCATTACCATGTAGCATATATATTCATTATCATGCTAAATTTCTCATTAAGGACTCTTTTAGTAAATTAATGTGTTTTGTAAGAAACATATTTAAAACTGTTTTAAAACTTTTTGTGTAACTTCTGGCAAGCCCCATCCCTCATCTTCTTCTTATGAGGTGCATTGTTTTGGTGCATTAGCGCCATCAGCTGGACAAGGTTGTGTTTTGTCTGTCTCTTCACTGTGCTTCTGCTTTCCTTTCAACTGCACAAATTAGTGTTTTTGGACCTTTGATAGACATAAACCTCTTGTTGGAGACCCCAAAACAAATTTAGTACCAGTTTATTATAATACTTGAACAGCGGCACTTTTATATCATTAAAACACTTCTCCCTTAACAGCCATATGAAATCAAAATCTACAATGTTTATTTTTAGTGCACATTGTTATTCTTTGGATGAACAATTAATCCATGCAAGTTAATCCACTGAAAAGAAGAAGTTTCTTTTGGTAATCTTTAATCAAAGTCTGACCATTTATCCTTGGAGTGTCAATCCTTCTCTGTTTATTCAATTCAATTCAATTCAATTCACCTTTATTTGTATAGCGCTTTTACAATATAGATTGTGTCAAAGCAGCTTCACATAAAAGATCATAGTAAATTGGAACAGTGTAGTTCAGTTTTTAGTGTTTAAGTTCAGTTCAGTTCAGTGTGGTTTAATAATCATTACTGAGAGTCCAAACACTGAAGAGCAAATCCATCAATGCGTAGCTCTACCTATCCCGATTCATGCAAGCTAGTGGCGACAGAGGCGAGGGGAAAAAAAACTTCACCGATTGGCAAAACCAGACTCAGTTTGACAGTCAGACACAGTGATGTCAGTTTGACAGCTTCAGCCACAATATTTTTAACCACGGCCCTCTTACTGTTAGTTTGCTAAAAGAGAATGATGCTCAAAAAGAAAGCTCCGCCCCCTCCTGCTCAATATTCTGTTTAATTTGGAAGTATATTAACATACTAAAATAAAAGTCTCAGCAGCTTCCTGTTTATGCAGGCTTGTAATCTGGTGTTTCTGTTTGCCTGCAGTGAGTTTAGGTGCGTGTGTGGTGATGTCTGGCGGTCGAGCTCTGGGTCACTGGGAGGTGAAAAACTGTCACACTTTTAAGGCTCTGGCTGTTTGCAAACAGGAAGTGAGTGGAGATCATGACACTCTGACGCCTGCACCACACATAGATATAAATGCAGCCTGTCCAACTGGATGGGAGAGCCACAGTGGACTGTCTCACTGTTACAAGGTAGTGTATAATCATATAACATTATAGTGAGTCACTATATGTTACGATATTGTTTTATGAGAAATGCTTTACTTGATATTTACTGTCGTTCATGTCTGTTCAGGTGTATCACGATGAAAAGATCTTGATGCAGCGTACTTGGACAGAGGCTGAGTTCTTCTGCCGAACTTTGGGTGCTGATCTGGCTAGTTTTCATCACTATGAAGATCAAGCTTTCGTCAAAAAAATCCTCTCTGTGATGTTCCAAAGGTTGGTTTACAAGTTTTTCTAGTTGGTTTATACATCACTTAAAGGTTCAGGACACACTGGAGAACTTTTTTTTATATATTAACAGATTTGTGTGTGTTGAGCATCAGTTAAGACAATGTTAGCACCTGTCATCTTTAATTGTGGGGAAAACTGGATAATTTTGAGCTTTTGTCAGCTAATTTCAGCTTCTGGGTTTAAAATGATTTTTGGGGCGGGATCAAAATCGGCGACGTAGCGCAGAACTGCAAGTGCAATGATCACGCGTCGGTTTCTCATTATTATTCATAGCGGAGTTTTCTTATCCTATGAGAAGAGCCGGCTGCTTAATTATTCATCAGACCTGCCAGACCTGCCAGTGTCAAGCCCGAGCTATGAGACACGGACCCAAGCACACAGTTTTTAGCCGTTCATGAAGGCTCATATGCGTTTGTTTCCATGATCCACGGGGTTTGTTGCATGTTTTCCCCCGTGATCTTGTCAGGGCCGATCATACAGCAAAGCTGTGTGTGTGCTGCAAGCATTTTTGTCGAGAGAGCAGCACGAGAATTAGAGAATGGCGGACGCTGTCTTTTATCAGAAGTTCGTGCACATTCAGACACATCACTGTGCTGCTGTGTTTGCCTAAATCCTCCAGATTACCAGCAGGGCTAATAGTTAAAATAGACAGGGCAGGAGAGCTGCTGCACTGAGTCTGCTGGATACGGGGATTGAGGGAGAAGTCCTCATTTATAGGGTTTACATGAACACACTTATTTTTATAATGATATAAATTGTGGTTATGTGTATATGAAATTACGAATAACAAATGTAGCAGGACATTAAATCACTGTTCATTTCTTTGCATTTTAACTTTGTAAACTATAAACTCATGCGTCTCCTCACGGTTTGTCTCATTTTGTGAGCTGACTGACAACAACAGTTGTTCGCTCACGTTCTCCCCTGCTGGCTACGCCCACTCCTGCCCTATGCTCGCGGAGCTCCACGCCCATTAATCATGCATCTTTTGAAAAAATTCTGAAGTAGACTTTAACCGAATATGGGGGTTGTCATGGCCCTTTAAATGGTGGGCAGGGTGGGAGTGGGACTCCTTTTCAGCTCTGGAGTTTCAAGCCTTAGACGGGCCCACCTCAGTTCAAGACTGATTTTATTAAAAGAACGTCATTTCCAAATCAGTTTTTTAATAACACTATCACGTCTTTTTTAAGGACACAGCTGCTTTAGAACTTCAAATGTTTTTCATAAATATGAGAACATTAATTCCTATAGATATCCAGTCCTTTGTTGCGGTCATCCCACAAAAAAAAAAAAAAAAAAAAATGTACCTCTACATAAGTAACCCAAACATTAAATCTCTTAACACTAAAAATGAAAAAAAAAAAAAAATAAATAAAATAAAAATAAATAATAATAATAATTTACACAGGGGAGGATCGAACTCGGGTCGGCGGCGTCGTCATGCAACGTGCTGACCACAAGACAACGATGGCGCTATTAAGCCAGTGTGTTTGGGATAAAAAATAAGTATTGCACTGTTATCTGCTGTAATGATGGCTTAATCTTTTTTTCCTCTTTTTAGATTTCTGATCAAGTTATGTCAGATTTATAAATGTATCGAATCATCTGATTTTCATTGAGCAGGTGTAATATTCATTAAAATTAATTTTTCGAATTCTTATATTCACTAAGGTGCCGCTGTTTAGGGTCGAATGATAGTTACATCATCATTATCCTGCAGGCTGCATTCTGCTCACAGGGCTGTGAGAAAGTAAATTAAAAGAGCAGAGTAACGGCAAAATAATGAATAAAAAGAGTGAGGCTATGGTCAAATAAATAAAAAGATGAAAAAGTGCGACTGCTGAGAGTGCAAGCTGCTAGGGACACTGCCCTCACTGCCAAAAAACGGACCGGCCCACCGGGAATTCTCCCAGTACTCCCGATTAGCTAATCCGGGCCTGATGGTGGGCTTGAAATAACACTATGAAAAGGATGTACAAACCAACTAGAATTTAAAAAAAAGATTTTCTAGTTGGTTTATGCATAATTTTCATAGTGTTTTTTTAAGCTCACTCTTTTCTCTCTGTTTGCCTGCATGAATTCTTTTGTTACTTTTTGGGTTTATTTAATATAAATGTATGGTCAATTCATAAATTGTATTAAAACAATTGACAATGGAAATAAAACAAAGGACATTCATATATTAAAATACCATACACAATATTCATCATACATTTATTTTATTTTCGGCTTAGTCCCTTTATTAAACTGGGGTCGCCACAGCGGCGTGAACCGCCAACTTATCCAGCAGGTTTTTAAGCAGCGGATGTCCTCCCAGCTGCAACCCATGTCTGGGAAACATCCACATACACACTTTTTCACACATACACTACAGACAATTTATCCTACCAATTCACATGTAGCGCATGTCCGCTGAACGCTGGGAGAACATGCAAACTTCTCACAAAAATGCCAACTGACCCAGTCAAGGCTCGAACCAGTGATTTTCTTGCTGTGAGGCGACAGCACTACCTACTGCGCCACTGCATCGCCTCCCATACAAAATGTTATATTTTAAATGACTAAAACGTCTTGCTGAAAAATGGGTTAAACTTTTGATTTTAAATGATTTTAAAAACTATGGCAAAGAATAAAGATATTAAGGCCCAATCCCAATTCTACTCTTTAGCCCTTCACCTTACCCCTACCCCTCGTTTTGCACGTTTACTTGAAGGGATAGGGGTGTCCCAACTCTCTTTAGCTTGAAGGCGTAGGACTAAGAGGAAGGGGTTGAATAATCTTGAATGGAGATTATTCAGGATTACACTGGAAACCAAGTGGTAAGAAAATTTCCCAGAATACACCAGCCACAACGGCAGCATAGCTGCACCCGGAAGTCAGAACATGACCAAATTAGTATTTTATAATGTTAACCACTTTCGTATTTTACCTCCATGCTTTAAAAAAAAATATTCTAAAATCAAAACCACTAAATTTCACGATCTATAATCCATAATAATAACTCCTGCACAGCAGTCCTACAACATTCTGACACTCGATGACACTGGAATACCCTGTCAGAAAAGTCTAGTGGCTGAGAATGACCCTTTTACAGTGTCTAGTATAATTCTAATGTTGTTTTTGGTATGTTTACATAGATGAATATGGCCACAGTGTAAATGCACAGTAGATCATTATGTTAATATGATACTGTATATACCTTCAATGATGTCCTGAAGAGAAATACCAAAAAATAAAAGAACTGGAGTAACTACAGCAGTCGCCAACGTCAATCTCATATGAAGCATGAGATCGCGATGACATATGATGACGTGTGCAGATGCTGTAGTTGTGTCCCAATTCTTAAGGGTAAATTTTGAAGCCCTTCAAGGGACAAGGGGAAGGGGTACAAAATAGAATTGGGATTGGGCCAAAAATATAATACTACTATACTAAATAATAAACAAAATATAATATAATAATAATGATATATACTAAACTATAATTCTCATTGATTTTTAGTGGGTGTACTCTTTTGTTTATATGCATGAATTATTATTTTTTCTACGCTGTAAGTCCAATTTCGCATAATTTTATATATAAATATTCTTTTTATTTTTGTCTTTTTTTTCATGTGTATTTGCCGTTGTTGTCTTTTTAGTAATGCTTAATTGTTTATATTTGTTTATTTACTCATTTTTCTGTTTGCTTTTCCTTTTGTCTCTTTTCAGTACAGAGGGTCGCTGGTTTTGGGTGGGCTTTACTAAGAGAAACCCTTCTTCTGATGGAGCCTGGGAGTGGTCAGATGGCACACCGGTAAATATTTACAGAGGAAAAGAGTTAGAAAAAGGGAAACCAGATGGTTGAGTTCTTTTAGACATGATTAAATGTTTCATCTGTATGATGATCTATATCAGTGGTTCCCAACCTGGGGTCCGCGCCCCCCTAAGGGGGGCGCCAGAGTTCACAAGGGGAGCGCGGGAGAGGATAAGTGTTGAGGTAGAAAAAGGCATAAAAATGCTCCACTATTATATAGGGCTTTGCAATTAATCAAAAATCCGATTTTGATTTCGGCTTCAAACGATTATAAAATAGCATTAATCGAGATAAATGATTATTGCATCATATACCGCAACTTTCCAGTTGTACACGTGTTGTTGCTCTTAAAAGCGCGAAAGAGCGCGTGCTTATATGTGTGCGCAGAACGCACACGCAGTCAGAAGCATGCGGCCGGTCAGCATTCGCTCTCATTCACACACTGAGACGAGCAGAGGAGCGCAGACATCTAAAGTCATCTTAACGTGAGCGCTTTAATGGTCAAATAGGTGTCAAAACGCGGTGTTTAGTGATTATGTACATTAACCCTCATTTGTGTTATAAACAAACGAGTTGAGGATCAAAAGACGTGAAAGAGAAACTATTAAAGAGACAGCGCGCTTTAATCCTTCTGTCACCTGTTTTTATCATTTTTAATCAAACAACGAGAAAGCCCTCGCTGCTCTTGACTGAAGGACTGCTGTAGCTAAAGTGTTTTTCTTACAGTGAAGATGCTTAAAGCACAGTTTGTTTCATATTTTTATTTTATTGTATTTATTTCTCTTTCCTTTGCAGGGTGGAAAATAACTGTATTTATACACTTGAAGTCAGATTAGCCCTCCTGAACATTAGCAACCCTTTTCCTCCCCAATTTCTGTTTCATGGAAAGATTCTTTTTTTAACTTATTTCTGAACATGATAGTTTTGATATCTCATTTCTAATTACTGATTTCTTTTATCTTTGCTATGATGACAGCAAATATTATTTTACTAGATATTTTTCAAAATACAAACATTCAAATTAAAGTGCAATTCAAAGGCTTAGTGTAATTAGGCAAGTCATTATAACGGTAGTTTCTTCTGCAGACAATCAAAAATATATATTGCTTAAGAGGGCTAATAATATTGACTTTAAATTAGTTTAAAAATATTTAAACCTGCTTTTATTCTAGCTAAAATAAAACAAATAGAAGAAAAAATATTATAGGAAATACTGTTAAAATTCCTTGCTCTGTTAAACATAATTTGGGAAATATTTATAAAAAATAAATCTCAGGAGAGCTAATAATTTTGACTTCAACTGATAATCGTTTTGAATAATTGTGATTACAATTATGACCAAAATAATCGTGATTATGATTTTTCCCAAAATCGGACAGCCCTACTATTATATATGTATTTTTAAGTACCAAAAGAAATCTATAAACACATGCCTAAAATTCCAACATAATAGTAAAAATAATTAAAATAAATAACTTTAAATAATTATTTAAATTTTGCTCACTCACGCAACTTGCTTGTCAACGTGTCGTAAAGGCAAAATCAAAACAAAAATGGCAGAGAAACGTAAATGCAGTGATTCTTCAGAGGCGAAGAAAAATATTAGACAGTATGACAAAGCCAACCTAAATTTTGGTTTTATTGAAGGCCAAGACAAGTTAAAACTGATTAATTTATAGTTTCTATACATATTATTAAATATTTATATTACACACACACACACACACACACACACACACACATATATATATATATATATATACATATATATACATATATATACATACATATATATATATACACAGTACATATGTGTGTGTGCGCGTGCGCGTGCGTGTGTATTTATATGGTGGGGGGGCTCCAATGTTTGTATATGTTCATGTGGGGGGGCCCCAGAGAAAAAGGTTGGGAACCACTGATCTATATGATATTCCGGACAATTTTCAAATGCATTCAAATGAAAATTGCATTTTCAACATGTGGACGCATAAATTGTGACAATCCAAATGCAATTGCAAATCCCTAGATACCATTAGCAATTCTGTTTTTGTGAATGTGCAGTGACTGCCACATTTCGAATGAAAAAGCAAAGTCCATTTGCAAATGCATTCCCATGTCTTACAAGCTATGACCCTGACATATCTAAATAGCAGTAATCATCGTTCATGTAACCTGCCAAAAATCATTTTGCATGTGAATTTCCGATATCTATATTAAAACTTGTCAATCAAATGACACGGCTACTTTATTGGCCATTTTTGTTTTCAGAAGTGACGTCACTCACAGTTGTAGTGTTTTGAATTTTACAGTCTCTTTACAGTTTCTGTGTGTTTAACACAATGTTAGTACCTTTTAGCTTTAATTGTGGGGTAAACTGGATAATTTTGAGCTTTAATTTCATCTTCAGGGTTTAAAATAATTTTTGAATTTGAGGCAGGATCAAAATCAGTGACGTTGCGCACATCTGCTAGTGGAGTGATGATGCATCGGTTTCTCGATATTATTCATTGCTGAGTTTTCTTATCCTATAACCCCGCTTCTTAATTAATCATGACTGCACATGCAATCCGATGACATACTAATATGGACAGACCACACAGACCCGCCATGCTGTGAGAGAGCGCATGGCACACAGTATTTAGGTGTTCATGAAGGCTTGTATGTGTTTGTTTTCATAATACCCGAAGTTTGTTGCATGGGTTTCTCTGTGATGCTGTCAGGGACTCCGAGATAGCCAACCTGTTTGTGTGCAACAAGCATTTTTGTCGGGAAAGCTGTATGATAATTGGAGAATGGTGGACTTTGTCTTTTATCAGTTAAGTTTGTTACTATTCAAGCACATCCCCTATATCCGTGCTGCTCTGTTTGCCCATGTTTAAAATCCTCTAGATTACCAGCAGAGCTAATAGACTGATTTCACACGGCCGTCATTTTCAAAAGCGAAATCGAGGCTGCGGTGGGAAGAAACCCAGAAGTATCATTGGGAGTTACATAGGAATGTTGTGTAACTGGCTATATATCTGATCAGCGAAGATAAAGTGACACAAATTTATAATTTCTCCACCTTCCGGGTGACCCGAAGGTCCGTTCTGAATGAATGGTGAATGTAAAAAGGGATATCAGAGCTCATTTTCAGCTAAGTTAAGGGAAATGGCACTAGTTAGCTAACGTTTTCTTTCCCAAACACACGTTTTAGATGCCATTTATCAAACTAGAGTTAATAAACTGATTCTTTCACTATATTAGACTTGTCACGATACTGAATTAAAATAAATTTTATGATTTGAAAATGATTTGCCATTGTGTTCACGTGTTCAACAGAAATTATTGTGATTAGCTGAGAAGGTCATCAGTTCACCCATGTCTGTATACTGAGCAAAAACACAGACGAGCCAAGCGATCTGCTTGATGACTCAACTGATCTTGACGGCTGCTTCGCGCTCCAGTCCGTTTATCTTTGTTTGCATTGGGTGAAGAGCAGTAAACTGAGTGCAAATCAAACACAGATGCACGGAGATTGAAGCGCGAAGCTGTGAAGATCAGTCGAGTCATCCGCGCTCAGCGGCGCTTCCATGTTAGCGGGAAATAGCCGGGTTTAAAACTTCAGTGCCAGGACAACACTATTACAGACAACACGAGGTTGTGCTGCAGAGGACTGCAGTGTTTTATCACTCACCGGGTTACATAGGCTGAAGCATTAAACGCGTCCTCACGGTGTTTAACTAGTGCCATGAGCTAAAGCCTAGGGAGACACTTAAGCGTATCACTGAGATTGTGATCTTGTTCGATGCTAAATTGCTTTTAATTGTTTCAAATAAAATTACTGAATAATATTAAAGTGATGGTTACACCATTTCTGCATTTTGAATCTCGGCAACAGCTGGAGTTTTTTAGTACACAGCATGTTACTGCAATGTTTACAGTGCTCGTCCTATACTTCCGGGTTTCTTCCCACCGCAGCCTCGCTTTGGTTCTTTAAAATGGCGGCCGCGTGAAATAAGCGTATGGTTGGAATTGATAGGGAAAGAGACCTGCTGCACTTTTATCCATGTTGTTTCCATTCAGACTCGGGGATTCAGGAAGAGAGAAGTCCTCCTCTTTTATAGTGTTTATATAAGCATGATTATATTTATAATTATATAACAAATTGTGGTTATATATTATATGAAATTATGAATAGCCCATCATATGTAGCAGCATTACAGTTTTTCTCGATTGCTTGGATGCAGTTGTCAACTGAAACTCCACCTTTTCAAAACAGTTAACACACAGGCCTAAACAGCGGCACTCATGGTCAAAATGACACATTTTGCTTGCAAAAGGCACATATCGTGTCAAAACATTTAACATATGCAACAAAAGCTAGTTTTACCTTCAAACTACACAACTTGCAAACAAGTATAAGAGCTCTTTCAATTAATCATTACACAATGGACAACAAAATACAAAACACAGAACTCAAAATGCACCACCATTGCTTGCCATTGTAGCTTATAGCCAATGGCATTTGTTGTCTCTATTTAGGCTGTCAAATTTGCCTTTTTGCAAAGAATTGGATCAAGAATAAGTTGTGCTTTGATTGAATATATATTGAATTCATGACATTTTTCAAACTGTGGCTGAAAACTGAAATACTGTATATAAAAAAACAGACAAAAGTAATAAAATACTGTAAATATTAGAGAAAACACATGTAAACTAATATACAGTCAAAACTATTGGGAGTATAGGACATAGCCATACTGACCTCCTCCATCAATGCTGGCACAGAACAACACAGACCTTCCATCGTTTATATAAGGTTTGCAGAATGATGGCTAATTGAAGATTTGTGTGAAGGAGTGTCAAACCGGTGCTTCAGTGATTTCATACTGATGTTGGTAGTTTTTAATAGTTAGGAATAGATGGATTCTGTTTGGTTACCAAAACTAAAACAATGGAGTTTGGACTGCTTGAATGACATCAGTGTTAACTGTTTGGAAAAATGGTAGGGAAAATGTGTCAACCCAATGAGAAAGGGTTTACACATTTGCAAGACCTGTCCTCTGCTCTGCTGGGATAGTGATAATGAAAATGAAGAGGTACCTAGTTTCTTTAACCAGGTCAAAGCAAACTAGAAAATCTGTAAAATACTGTTTATTTCTTTGCATTTTAACTTCGTAAACTATAAAATCTAGCGTCTCCTCATATTTCGTATTGGATTTTTTATTTTATTTTATTTTGAGCTGGTGAGCCAACTGACAAAAGCCCTTTTTTCCCCCCTGCTCTGCCGGCCACGCTCACTCCTCCCTATGCTTGCAGCGCTCCACGCCCATCATGAAGCATTTTTTTTTTTTAATTCTGAGGTAGACTTGAACTGATAGAGGGGGCTTTCATGACCCTTTAAGTAATTAACTTATTCATGCCATCCTGCAGGTGGTGACATCGTTCATTGAGGATATGAATGAAGCAGACTCTCACATGTGTGCTGCGTACAGTGACCTCACAAACACTCTCACTCCTCACTCCTGTGACTCCAAATATGAATGGATTTGCAAAGTGCCTCGAGGTTTGTGAAGTCTGTTTGTTTGTTAATAACTTGCTGGTCTTTTAAGCGAAAACAAATATCCATAGAAATGCACTGAAATGCAGCCGTATGATTTTTGATTTCCACAGGTGTGGAGCTGGTCAAGCCATACTGGTACAGCGACCGTAAGTAGTAAATTACTGCTCTACCAAAAGTTATGTGCTCTCAAGTTTTAAAAAAAGTTTGGAATTAGCTTTTCCTAGGATATAAAATACTGAAGAAAAAGACTCTCTCTAACGGTCAAAGCAAATTTAACAACATTTACTTACAATTTACAATTACAAGACTTTTTATAATAATACTACTAAATAAATGTACAAATTTTATACAGTGAAAGAAAAACGTAACTTTTTTCCAAGATGATTTATTACACTATTAGGTTGCTTTGTATATTTCAACATGCAGTCAGATATTTATTTATTTTTATGTTTGCACTATATCAGTTGACGTATAAATTACTCACACTGGTGGGTTGCTTTCCACTGCTTTTAGTCGCACCAGGCGGCTGACAGTTTTTCTCAGTCGCTTTGGTGCATTTCTCACAACACTATTTACATTTGCACAACAGGTAATGCATTTTTCAAAACAATTAGTCATTTGTGCACATCATAGAAGCAGTTTCTCATTCCTTCCAACACATTGTATGTAAAACATACATATTCAGTGTTTTGTACTGAGATAACTCACTAAATGCAGTGAACTATACTGTAGTTTTCAAATGGCTGTGCAAATAGTATAAAGTGCTGTCTTGAGCATTTTCAGCAAGTGTCACCAAAATCTGACTTTTTTTGCATTGAAAAAAATGTAAAGTGAAGTGTCATAATGAAAACATGACTAAGCCATTTGACTATCTTGTTCATAAACAATGGTGACAGGACTTTTCATTTTGATGACACTGACACTTTGATTGACATCAATATTTGCTTTTGAGGAATGAACTATCTATTTTAAGCAAGTGATGCGCTTTTGCAGGTTATCAGCTAGGTTTTGCAGTTTGCACTAATTGTTTTGAGAAATGCATTAACTGTTGTGCAAATGTGAATAGTGTTGTGAGAAATGCACCAAAGCCACTGAGAAAAACTGTAATATTGCCAACACTCCTAAATTAAAGAGGACCTATAATGCCCCTTTTTTACAGGATGTAAAATACATCTCCAATGTGCAGAGTGTGTACAGTATGTGTATTTGCAGCTCAAAATAACACTCAAATAATATTTTATAACTTTAAAAGTGCACCTTTATGCTTTGATCCAAATAATGTCGTTTTGGTGACTGTCACTTTTATTTTAAATGAGATTGTTTCAAAAGAGGGCTGAGCTACAAATGCGTGTGCATCAGCAGGACGAGGAAGAGATCATGACTAATGGGTGGGGCTTTCCCCCTCTGATGACTTCTTCTTCTTTTGGAGTTTTATCTGTCGTTGGCAACCCCTCTGATGACACGTGCAAAGGGAGAATGTCAATCAAAGTGTTTGTGCAGACTGTTTTTATCAAATGTGATTATAAAAAAAGTGTGGTCCCACTTTATATTAATTGGCCTTAACTAATACGTACTTACATAGGACTTAATAGTTTGTTACAATGTACTTATTGTGAAAATACATGTATTTACTGTGTACTTATGCTTGATTAAATACATGCATGTAATTACATCCGTAATTAGCTTCTGTAATTACATTTGTAAATACATTGTTGACTATCCCTTACACCTCAACCTACCCTTAAACCTACCCATGCCACCAAACCTGTCCATAACTCAACCTCTTTTCCAACTCAAGAGCACCACAAATGTTCTCAAATACATATTAAACACAGTAAGTACATTGTATTTATTTTTTTGATGTAGGTACATAATAGTTAGGGACCCTTAATGTAAAGTGGGACCAAAAGTGTTAATTAATTTTTACTATTAGAAGCTGGCTATATTCACACACGGTTGTCGCATAACTTTGTTTAAACCCCTTATAATTAGTGATTGTGGTTGGTGTGTCTTTAAGTTAAAAGCTCAAGTGAAATGATTGAAATATGTGTGTCTCATTCTGAATGTGTGAGATTCGAGAGGCCTGTATGCTCACAAAATCATGATTACGAACATTTATTTTCATGCCTAATCTTAGACAGTGAAACATCTTTTTATTAACTTGAATATTGGTGCCTCTGAGATGCAGCAAGAGCCTGTCCTACAGTTACCTCACCAAACAGTAGCTAAATAGTGGTCTTAACCTCTTAAGGCCCAAGGTGTTTTTTACATGCATTTTTTTATTTCTCTTTGCTATTTGGTTTTATGGGAACCTAATTAGAAGTATCTTTTGAGATGATGTACTTTTAAAGAAAAATGATGTCCATATATGTAGACTCGTGATCCTAATTGACATACACTTTTTCCTGTCTATTTTTTAATGCATTTATATCATAGATTTTTTTTTTACTTGCTTTGACTATCAGAAAGTAAAAACTTTTTTTTTTCCCATTTTGGACAGTTAAAAATAGTGTTTGGGACATTTCATATGTTGCAAAACAGTTGCAGGATGACACTGTATGTCTGTAACAAAATATAAAGCATTCAAAGTATTTTAAATAGACACTTATGAGCTAAAATGTGCTGACCACGGATGTGGACACTCAAGCCCTTGGAGGATAAATGAACAGCCACTGAAACTGCACCCTCTCCTAAAGGTCTACATTCCCTCCAGGAGCCTAAGGTCAGGGTGTGAGCACCGCCTTGTGGTGCCATCGCAGAGAGGCTATAAGTCACATTCCTAAACCTTTTCATTCAATGTTAGATCTTCCCATTCCCACTCTGACTGCGGATACAATGATATCCTTCAAACGACAACTAAAAACCCATCTGAACACTGGTAAATAATACCAAAGCCACCTATTGAAGTACTTTCTCCTTCTCCCTCTCTCTCTAAAAAAAGTCCAACTCTAGCACTAGCACAAACAAGCTACTTTGAATAACTAGCACTCTAACAATCTCTTCTTGTTGAATTGCTGAATACCTCGTCGACTGCAAGTTACTTTGGACAAAAGCGTCTGCTGAATGACTTAATGTTTATGTAAATAATTGGCTGCTATGATTTCTAAGTTTTCTCCATTAGCACATAAGTAGAGGCTTTGGTTTTCTTTACATTATAACTTAGGCAGAAAGAGACTGTATCTTGAATGATAATGTTAGTGATAGCGCTGTGTGTTTATGCTGCAGAACATGCACCATGGTTCTTTTTCCACGAAGCTGAATATTACTTTGCCAGTAAGCAGTTTCCCTGGCAGTCTGTCTCTTTCACCTGCAAGATGATGGGCGCTGATCTGCTCTCTATCCACTCTAGTGAAGAACTGGACTTTGTCAAAGGACACATTACTAAGGTAACTTTATTTAAAGTGCATACACTACCATTCAAAAGAAAGTAATTATTTAAGTTCTTAAAAGACGGGTGATTTATAATAGCCCAAAACATACTGGAAGTTTGATGAGTAGCGTTTGGTTCCAAGTCGATACTTTTTGAAATGGTACCATTGCCTGAGCAAATTCTTGGAGGAAGAAAATACCCACAAAAAATAAATAAATAAATAGATGACATTACAAAATAGATTTTTTATTCTTTACATTATAGATAAAGTGTTAAGCATATGTAAATATAAAGATTTATATAAAGCACAACTAATTTTAATAACAGATTTACAATACATTCTATTAAACATTTTTTTACTGTAGAAAAAGCACTTGAAATTTAGGATTTTACAATACATTCTAAGCCACCACATGCGGTAAACAAATAATTTCAACATCAGTTACAGTACTAAAAACAGCTGTCTTTAATTATTGGTATGCTAAAACTAGTGTTAGTGTACATAAAAAGGACAGAATGTACCTGTATCTATTTAAAAGAGCATGTGCTTGTGTTTTTTAGGACTCTGAATATTGGTGGATTGGTTTGTCTGCTAACAGTGGCCACAACGGCCTCAGGTACCTTTTTCTATTATTTTATTTGTGGAGAACTTTGACTGACAGATGATTTTTTTTACCTGTTGTTACACCATTTTGTGTCTGTCTGTCTTGTCTATCTATCTGTCTACTGTATGTACAGTTGAAGACAGAATTATTAGCCCCCTTTTGATTTTTTTTCTTTTTTAAATATTTGCCAAATGATGTTTAACAGAGCAAGGAAATGTTCACAGTATGTCTGATAATATTTTTTCTTCTGCAGAAAGTCTTATTTGTTTTATTTCGACTAGAATAAAAGCAGTTATTAATTTTAAAAATATATATTTTAAGGTCAAAAAACCTCTTTAAGCTATATAATTTTTCGATTGTCTACAGAACTAACCGTCATTATACAATGACTTGCCTAATTACCCTAACCTGCCTAGTTAACCTAATTAACCTAGTGAAGCCTTTAAATGCCTTTAAAATATTCTTTAAAATATTATTTACTGTCATCATAGCTAAGATAAAATAAATTAGTTATTAGAGATGAGATGAGATGACTCTGAAGCAGGTCTTCATTGAGGATGTCTCCGTACATTGCTGCATTCATCTTTCCCTCTATCCTGACTAGTCTTCCAGTTCCTGCAGCTGAAAAACATCCCCACAGCATGATGCTGCCACCACCATGCTTCACTGTAGGGATGGTATTAGCCTGGTGATAAGCAGTGCCTTGTTTTCTCCAAACGTAACGCCTAGCATTCACTCCAATGAGTTCAATTTTAGTCTCATCAGACCAGAGAGTTTTGTTTCTTATTGTCTAAGAGTTCTTCAGATGCCTTCTGGCAAATTCCAGGCAGGGAGTGGCTTCCATCTAGTCACTCTACCATACAGGCCTGATTGGTGGATTGCTGCACAGATGGTTGTCCTTCTGTAAGCTTTTCCTTTCTCCATAGAAGAATGCTGAAGCTCAGACAGAGTGACCATCAGGTTATTGATCAGCTCCCTGACTAAGGCCCTTCTCCCCGATCACTCAGCTTAGATGGCCGGCCAGATCTACGAAGAGTCCTGGCGGTTCCAAACATCTTCCACTTACAGCATGTGCCCGAGCTCAATTAAGAGCTACATGGCAAAAGCTGTGAATACTAAATAATAAATAACAATACATTTGCAACAATTTCAAAAAATCTTTTTTCACATTGTCATTATGGGGTGTTGTGTGTAGAATTTTGCAGAAATAAATGAATTTAATCCATTTTGGAATAAGGCTGAAAATTAAAAAAAAAAAATGTTGAAAAAGTGAAATGCTATGAATACTTTCCGGATGCACTGTATATGTGTATATATATATCTGTAACGGTGGTGAGTGGTACTGGCAACAATATAAAGTTCCAAGCAGTTTTATTGAGATGGGTCAGGCAGGCAAAGGTCTAAACAGGAACAACCAACAATATAAGGGTAATGCACGAGCATAGTCCAGAAAACAAGCAAAAAGTTTGAGTCACTTAGCCAACAATCTTACCTTTAAAATATAGCATACAATATATAAAAATATAATATATAAAATATAAAAATATAGTATACAAAATAAAAAAAATAGTTTACAAAATATAAACATATAATAAATTAAACATAAGTGGAACATACACTTATAGACCAAACCTTTATCACCTTTACTCTTTTATGTCTTATGTTTGTGGTCTGCAGTTGGACTGATGGATCTGCTCTGGATTACGAGAACTGGGAAAACGGTCAATTTTCCAGAAAGCCTGGTCAAAATTGTATCCAAATGTCGGCTCAGTCTGGTAAACGATAAATACTCTATATATGTACACATAGGTACTGTTATTCAATATACTGAAACGCTGCTTCTCAATGGTGTTGTGCAGGTCAGTGGTCTGCAGGAAGCTGTAAAGATCCTCGTGGTTATGTGTGCAAACGCAGAACGGTGTCTGTGGTGGAGGTTCCACAAGAGCCTTACTATATCGGCAGCTGCCCAGAGAACTGGCTTTACTACGGACACAAGGTTCACATGCACCACAGACTGCTTTTACAAGTTTAATCTACATTAGTCAACATTTGAAGTGGTTCAAAACCTTCAACAAAATAGTTCGAAAACACTAGTACTTGTCTTAGGACAATTTTTTAAAAACTTTTTTGATCCACTTTAAATGTTGATCACTGTAGATCTTTTCATATGGTTGAATGAATCAATTAATCAATTTTTATGAATTAATGAATGAGTCAATCAATCTATTATCAAATGTTCTTAAAATAATTTAGTTAAAATTATTTGTACCTCAAAATCTACAATTTTGCAGAGTAGTTATATTGAGAATTCAATTGTTGTAAAGCTGAATAAGCAGGAAATGTTTTTCAAAAAAAGTAATACAAGAATTGTAATTTAATAAAAAGTTTTCTTTCAAAAAAACTGCAGTTAAAATGATTTGCAGCACACACTATTTACATTTGCACAACAGTTAATGCGTTTCTCAAAACACTTAGTCATTTTTTTCACGTTATAGTAGCAGTTTCTCATTCCTTCCAACAAATTGCAGATGCTTTTGGATGTGCATCAATTGTTTTCATACAACTCTCTGCTATTTATAACATTATCATTTGCTTATGACATGTCAGTCAAAATGAACTAAACTTGTGAATGCTGAATAGTCATTCCATATAAAACTAATCCTCATTTCATTACCTGAGTCATTACATCTAGAAATGTTGAACTAGTTGTCAAAATCTGTCATGCTAATTTTAGAAAAAATAAATAAATAAAATAAAAATTCTAAAAATGTCTTCTAAATTGAACAATTTCATGAATGATTTACAGACCTATGTATGTTGTAGGTTCAGTTCTAATATGTACTGCAATATTGTTTACAGTTGTGCACAGCTCTACCCAAAGGAAGTTTATGTTTTTTATAAATAAGGGTGTGTTTATTCTTTTGCACAATGCTGTGAATAAATTAGAATTGCAAATGTGAAACAGTATATAGTGCTGTCTTGAGCGTTTTCTGGACGTGTCACCAATATCTGACTTTTTTTGGATTGGAAAAACTGTCCAGAGTAAACTGTCGTAATGAAAACATGATAAAGCAATTTGACTATTTTGTTCATAAACAATGGTGTCAGGACTTTTCATCTTGATGACACTGACACTTTCATAGACATCAATATTTGCTTTTGAGGAATGAGCTATCCATTTTGAGCAAGTGACACGCTTTTGCAGATTATCAACTAGGTTTTGCAGGTTGTACTAATTGTTTTGAAAAATACATGAACTGTTGTGCAAATGTAAATAGTGTTGTGAGAAATGCACCAAAGCCACTGAGAAAAACTTTTTTAGTTTATTTTGTAGGAAAACGTTTTAAACAATAAAAAAATGTTGAAAATAATTTTAGAACTGTATTTAATTAGTAAGTGCAGAGCAGTTGTATTGCATTTATATAAAAATAATAAAACCGTTTTGCAAACCAAATTAAACAGAAAAGAAATTAATTAACTTCCAATATTGTTCTAACTTATGCTTTTTTTTTTTTTTACAAGTGTCAGCTAATTTAACATTTCTTTTTTTAACAGGGATAATAAAAAAACATCAACTGACCAACATTCGCTTAAAGAGTGAATATTAGTATTAATAATAATAACACACCATAATTAGTATATTTATTACACAATTTTTAATTGGAGAAACTTTAAAGGAAATATTTTCAAATGTGAATCTTTCAGAAATGCTAGATCAATTTCTATCAAAAGTAAACCTTAACCTTTTTATCTTACATATTATTTATTGCTGATGGTCTTTATTGTTTGTTTTTTATAGAAACGTAACATCTATAAAATGTAAAGTCGATCTTTTTTCACTCTAAAATAGACAGAGAAGCTGAAATGGCAATAAATTCAAAACTCTCACTTTAAGATCTGCGTGGGACTAAATTTTGAATCCCGCTCCCGCCAAGTTTTAGTCCGAACCCGAACGCTCCCGCTTATATTCAGCATGTGCTGTCCCGCTGCCCGCCCTGCCCCGTTTTCTACTCGCATCGCCTGTTCCCACTAATGAGATGGGGGGGGACAAAACCAAAAACCACCCAGCTATACAGAGTCCAGACAGCCTAAAACATGTTTACTGTATGCACATAAGCACCAAGCAGGTAACACACAAACAGACAGCATCACACTCTCTCTCATTCACACAGACACACACACACACATAGACAGCAACAAACAAGCTAAAGTCACACACATACATTTGCGTGATCGCTCGCACGCTCGAGAATCGGGAGTGATGTTATTAGATCGCCCGCTCCCGTCCAAAATTACACCAGTTACCGACCGCTCCCACACTTTATTCTGAATTTTATTCCCGCGCCGCAAGAAATCTGGTCGGGTCGCAAGAAATGTAGTCGGCTCCTGTGGTACAGCTGCGGGAATGGAGGCCTCTACTCTTTCTCACCAGAATTAATTTCTATTAATGTGTCTCATATATAATTTTCAGGAATTCTTTTATTTACCGTTTGAGTTGTTCTGTTTTATTGTAAAATTGAGAGTAGCTGTTTTGTGATTGGTTGGCAGTGTCTGTATGTGTATCTCCCGGACCGTCCAGAAAAGGGGAAGAGCTGGCAGGAGGCTCAGGCTGTGTGCTCGGCCAATCAGGGCTCTCTGGTGTCCATCAAGGATGAGATCGAACAAGGTAAAGGTCACATGCTCATTTATACAGCTTTCAGTGTTGTTGTATGTTGATATTTGTGGTTTCTTTTTTTTTTTGGTTGAAGCCTATATCGTCATGATGCTTCATGGCTCGTCAGCGGGGGTTTGGATCGGTGTGCAAGGACGTTTTTCTTCCAAATGGAGCAACAAGAAGCCGATCGTCTACAGTAACTGGGAGGTATAAAATCTTGGGAATTAGAAATGATGCTCCCATCTTGATTTTTGATGGCTGATTCAGATTACTGACTTTTAAAAAAAATCTAAAAAATATACAGTTGAAGTCAAAATGATTCGCCCTCCTGTGAAATTTTTTTCTTTTTTTAAAAAATATTTCCCAAATTTAACAGCGCAAGGAATTTTACACAGTATTTGCTATAATATTTTTTCTTCTGGAGAAAGTATTAATTTTATTTTGACTACAATCAAAGCAATTAAATTTTTTAAAGAACAATATTATTAGTCCCCTTAAGCAATGTTTTTATTTCATTGTCTACTAGGGGTGTAACGATCTATCGTTGTACAATTTATTGCGATGCAAAAGTGTCACAATATGCATCGTGGCATTATGACGATTTCATTACCATATGACGTCCGTTTTCTCTTATTAGTTGAGCTGTTTGCACGTGAGCTACGTTCCACCTGTTGTCGTACGTGATTTCAGATTGCAGCAGCAGTAATTTTAGCAGACCAAGATGAGTGGAGTAGAAATAGAGGATGGCCCATCCTCTCAAAATCAGACGTCTGGCAACATTTCGGTTGTACAGTCATTGCTTTAGACTCGTCCGCTTTTTGACACGCATACTGGGTCAAACATAGCCGAAGTTTTAAAGTCTTCACAGTGATTTACATACTTTGCACAGCGACATGGATACCTTCTAATGGTGTTAAAAGAGTCACATACTGTATTTATAAGGTACAATTCACTCTAAAATATCATTCTGTCTTCATATAATGATGTATTGGCAGCCGCAAAATCACACATGACGTGAGCTGACCGTGAGCTGTTACTACAGAGGGCGCGCGCGCGCGTCTGCTTCAGTGAACAGAACCTGCAGGTTGTGACTAACATTCAGCATTCAACACTGTGACTAACATTCAACATTCAGTTTGTGGAACAGAGTGATCGTTCAGGAGCCGCGTGGGAAGTATGAACAGCAGTGGAAATGAAACCGAAAGCGTGCACATTATTTAAATAATCACATCGCATTTTAGAGTTATGATTACGACGAGCATGAACTCTTTTGAGTACAGAGGTACACAAAAATGCACTTCAACATGATACACTTGATAGCGCCGACATCAGCAATGCCGAAGAAATAGTAAACCTGCCTAAACTGCTGAAAAGAGCCATGACTGCCCTGTGTAATGAAAAGACGGCCACCCTGTCACTCATCATGCCCAATATGAAGACAGCCATCCATAAAAACCTCTTAGACAGATACACATCAGTTCAGGATTATTTTAAAGAACTGCTGATTACCTGGAAATGTAGATTTTTTTTTTTTTTTTTTTTGCACACACAAAAAACGCAAGTAACCAAGCAAAGCCTTAAGCTCTTACTGTTAAATTAAATTGGATTGAATCATTTCAATAATATTTTATAAGAAGTTTTTAAATTGTTTTATTTTCCAGAGACAGTCCTGTTTAATTTATTTTCTTAAAGAAGGTTCAGTTTAGAAAGTTTAAACAAAAGAAATACTTAAAAAATTGTTTACTTGGTAATTAAATGTTTTTTAAATAAAATTTGCATTTCAGTTTAATTTTCAATTTTTATTCCAAATATCGTGATACATATCGAATCGTGAACATTATATCGTTATACACATTGTATCGTGAGCTGAGTGTATCATTACACCCCTATTGTCTACAGAACAAACCATCTTTATACAATGATTTAACCTAGTTAAGTTTTTAAATGTCACTTTATCTAGTCAAATATTATGTTCTGTCATCATGGCAAAGATAAAATAAATTAGTTATTAGAAATGAGTTAGTAAAACTATTATGTTTAGAAATGTGTTCCATTAAACAGAAATTAGCGAAAAAAAATACAGGGGGGCTAATAATTTTGGGGGGCTAATAATTCTGACTTCAACTGTATAAAACAATTTTCAAATCAAATTTGCTTAATTAAGCTCAATTATCAAATTAGCTTAATTAATGAATTTTTTATTAAATTAGCAAATTTTGACAGCCCTGATATATATATATATATATATATATATATATATATATATATATATATATATATATATATATATATATATATATATATATATATATATATATATATATATATATATATATATATATATATATATATATAAAAATATAAAAAAAACGATAT